TTTTTGGCTTTCTGTCATCTTATTTGATGGTCTGTGGCACTATTAGACTGATTACTGCGCTTACAGGTTCAAAGTCAGCAAGTAAAAAAAAAACAGTTGAAGCCTGAGACGGAGCCGAAGTTGAGTACTGGAAAACGGCCCATGAATCATTCCTGTAGGCATTCTCATCATTCAAAATAAGTGTAGAATCCAGTCAAACTTGCGACAAATTTCTTGCTCAAGATTAGGCGTGTAAATGACATAATCCCTTTGTTAAACCTGATGCCTGATTTACAGAATGACCTAAAGCACAATACATGTAGGAACACCTTATCAGTGACTAAAGTACTGCACTCTATATGTATGAGTGGCAAAAACTTGAACCAGCTTTAATTAAAATAATGCATTTAGCTTGTCAGTCTTGACAATGATAGCAAGGAACACCTCACAGACTGAGGAATCCTGTTTTTTTGTGTAAAATCTTTTAATTCAACCTTTGACACCATCATAAGCAGACCCCCCCCCCCACACACACACTTCTGAAATAAACTTCTAATGCTAAGAGTTTCCAGGGTTTAGAAAAGTTACTCAATGTCACACAACTTTATGATGACCTTCCCTGGCCTTGGATTACAAGTTACCATAAAGCTGATTGTTGCATGAATGTCTCTCAACCGCAGTCTTAAGACAAGCTCTCAAAGCCCGGACCACAGCGCATTACATGTAGATTGTTGAATGAGCACTGTAAATGGTCTGTGATTGAACGACATATACCAAGCACCATCTGCTAGGAACATTGCGGTTACAATCACTGTGGCGTACTTTTTACTGTGCCAAAAGCAGAGGCCCACACTAGATTTCTTTCTAAACTCACTAGTTCAGAAGAGATTGAGTCCACATGGTGTACTCACAAACCATCAATCAGTGTGGCCTCCACAATGCAAAGCTTCAAATCTTACTCAGATTTCTGAAGGTACATGTAGGTAAACTGTGTACATGTAAGTTTTGTCTTTTAACATTTTATTTCTACAAAGATGAAGGAGGACTCACAATCCCACTCCAAAATGTTTTTTTAAGTTTGAAATATTGCCCACGTGAACCAAATTTTTTGGTTTAGGAATCAGAGTTTTGGATTCATGTGTTATTATCATAAGTTAGGTTGACAAAACGTTCAATGTACACGCATACAACAGTGTAAATAGTTTTTAGCCCATGAACAAGACCTCCAGTCTGAATTCAAGCCACAAGCTACATGTACCTGTACTCATATTGGTATGAACTGTAACAAAAGCATTAGTTTGTCACGGTTCACTCAATGAATGGTCTTGTGTGACTGGTTTCAACTAAACTAAACACTTAAATGTATAAATGATACATGTAAGACTCATTCTTCATTTTCCGTACATGTACTGTAGGCCTACGTGACAACCAGCATGATCACATGCTTTACCAATGACAGATTAGCTCAAGCTCCAGACCATTCATGATCAGCTGTTGGTCCCTACAAGTGGTGCTGTGTCAAGACCACAGCAGTAAAATTTAATGTGGCATTAAAGAAGGCCACTAGATTGAACAGGGGACAAAGCATGGGACAGGTGGAAGCCGTGCTAATCTGTACCAGCAACAGCAAAAAACAAAACAATCACTGGTGTCGCACAGCCTTTGTTTTCATGGAAACACCAAGGCAGTGTATTCATATTCCCTGTCTCTCCTGTTCAGTTCTGAAGCTACTGGTACATGTGCAGGTCTATCAGTGGTCGGATCCCCACCATTCCATTTTTAGTGCAGATCACAAATACGATTATTTTGTTGTCACTATGAGTCACACTAAAAGTGAAAGATAACTGCGTGCTCAAACTTGGAAGTGTTAATTACATGTACCATCACCACTATTTTCATCATCTTATCAAAGATAAGTTTATTTAATTTCTGATGCCTTCCATCCAAAGTTATCAGAGTAAAGAAATCCCAAATTGACTGTTCCTGGATTGTGCATGGAAATGTATGTTGTAAATGACTAAGATAATCTGGCACTAATGTTTGCGATCTTATCGGATAGTTGTTCATGAATCCAGCACAGTAGACCATTATAGAGGATCACTTAAAAAGAAATGTCAGTTCTTTCTTGGTGAGCATTCGGGACTCCATGTAATGAAAAGTTCAGGAAATTCACTTTCATCATATTTTACCATACCTGAGTGAGAATCCCTGCAAACAAGCTTACATGAGTCAGTCTAAATACTGAGACAATCATTAACCATTCCTGCCAGCAGACATTATTTTAGTCAATAATTATATGGTGTCGACATCTGAGTGCAGAGTTAAAAGCTGGAAATATGAGACCTGATCAGTTTCCTGGAGCCTGGATCAGGAGCTGACAATGGTTGGAACATGTGCAAAATACAAAGTCACAGCTGATGTGCAATGTAATGGCTACAATGTTTCAGCCGTATGAATGAATAAAATGCCCAATGGCAGAAACAGCCATTTATTTGTTCTGGCAGAGTCAGCCCACTGTCTGTTGGAGTCTGATTTGAGGGGTGGTAAAAATGAGCAGTTTTGCTGGAAATAGGAAAAAATCATGAAAATCTATAGTTTTATGAGAAAAATGGCTTCTACAGAAGAAGCCCATCGTTCTATGCCCCACACTAAACACGGCAAAACAATTTATGACAAGCACTGCTTTGTGTGCGCGTTAATCCTTCATATACTGGTATACAATGTACAGAATGCGTCCTGATCCCAAGATCATGATGCAAATCACTATTCAGGCATGGTCAACAGGTACGGTGTTTCAGTGTACATGCATGTACATTGACTGAAGCTAAACTTCCAATTGAACTGGGAACATAAACCATGATAAAGTGATAAACAGTTGTACTTGTATACATGTACATGTGGTAGACATGGTAGGTAAACTGTAGTATCTTGAATGTACATGTAAGTTTTTACTGGTACCGGTACATGTAAGTACATGTACATGTAGAACTAACGGCAAGTGTTTTCCTGGCATCATAGGGTTTTTGATAGGCTAATGGGGAAATTTCTCGAAAATTGGAAACAAAATGGAATGTCACATTGTGCGCCAGTTGAAAACAACTGCAAACTGCTTGATGGACAACTGGACCATTTACCAACTCAACCATTTAGAGAAATCGACCGGTGGGACAACTCGACATTTTACCAAGTCTTCCTTTAAAGGGTAGCTGCAATCAAACCTTCAACATGCACCTCTGAGTTTCAGCTGCTTTTATTTTCAACTGTTTTTCGCTATTTCAAAGATTATTTTCCTCCTTTTTTTGTTTTAATGCCAATGAATATTTCCATATTCATGAGCAAATCTGTGGCATCATCACAGGAAGAAAGCCTCATTGTTACTTTGGTTTGTACACAAAAAGTCCTGCATTTTTGTAGATTTTGCTGGACTCAGTTTTGTCTTATGTCGCAGACACTGATTGACAGCTTGTCCTTCAAAACACAAGTGCATGACCATGATGTACATGTACCTGAACTTGGTTCCCAGCTTGTTACATGCATTACTACTATCCATACAATCACTGCGATTGGGGACAACTGACTGACATTATAGTCTTGACTTCAAGGCTGTGTGATAAATGTACTCAGCATGCTAACTGCCCACATACAGTGTGCGGTACATGCAGTATGCACAAAATCGACTTACACGAAGTGTGTGTTCAGACAGTGAACTGTACCGCGCAGTACTTGGTATGCATGGTGCTGCTAAAACGCTGGTCGTTTCGACGATCATAAAGGTAAGCAGGCGCAGGCAGCACATTCCGCTTCACTTGCAAGCTCGGCAGCTTTGTTTTTAAGGCTACTAAAGGGACAGTGCTACACATGTGCATGCAGTGCACAACTGTCATTGAACTCGAGTCACATACATGTAGAGGTGCAAATAAACCAGAAGTGAGCCAGAAGGGAAAAATAGGTAAAACAGAATTTCAGGGTCTGTTAAAAAGAAACGGAAATCTGGATGAAAACCGGAAAAGTGGCATCTGAATTGCAACTCATCTCACTGGATATGACATGAGCAGGGACCCAGTGATGCAGCATGCACAGGACTGGTGGTCGACGTGTCCGTCACCTCATACAGCACAGTGCGAGGCCACAATGGTGATGCGGCGTGCATGGTGGTGCGGCATACCATTTGCAGTGCTAGTGCAAAGGTGCCTCGGCTGCACCGATGATCAGTCGCAGACTCGCTAGTCTGCCAGTGTGGGAGACAGTAAAGTTTTCCTCCAATAAGGGAGATGCTTCTTTGATCTTCCTTTCTTTTTAAATTTGGAGAAAAGGTGTGGGCCAAGTGATTGTAATTTGTGTAAAGCACACGCATATTCATGACAAGTCAATTTGTTTTTATCAATCGATGGCTTGTCCCAACGATTGAGTTGTCCGGCCATTTTTGCGGCACACACAGTCAAGTATACTGTCACTCGTAACCCTACACATATGCTACAGCCTGTGGGTGAAGTTTCACCTTTATATTTCTCAAAGAATTCTGGGTTTAAAAAGACTGATTTGGTTGTATCCATTTTCCTTCCTCTATGGTTGCATATTAATATACTATAGTATAGGCATGATAGGCCTAGGCCTAATGACTAAATACGAGTACAAATTACAATGCCTAATGACACCGTTCAGTTTTATCAATGGTTATTCATCCTGAAGTTAACCTCTAGGCCAGGGTGCATGTAAACTGTACTGGAATTTGAAGATTGGGGATTGTCGTGGTTTACAGTGGTTATAAAAGAACAACGCAGCAGCAATGCCGCACACGAACTTGGCGTAGGCCCACCGGTACGTAATGTACAGCCATTGTTGTCAATGTCATCGAACAATGCACAGCTCACTGTTAATCATGCACACAACACAACACATGAGGGACCGCATTCGGTCTTGTTCCGGCATACAACAAATTCGCTCTTTTATTTCCCGAAAACAAAATTACACTCACTTTAAGTTCGCAACATATAAAGTTCATAATCATATTTAAAACCTACCTGCTATATTTTAGCCATTAGCAGTACAACAAACCGGATATTTCGGCCATTTCAGTCGACGTCTCCAACCAGAAGATCGTGGGTTCTCAACAGCTGCGGAATCAGACGTCGACGACAGGAAGTGTTGGATCACCGAATATGACCGCATGACGTCATGTCACGTGATTCCTTGTGTCTACCTGTTATCTTAAAGGGGCGCCTTTATTGTTTCGAAGTTCTTGCTCTGGCTGTTATCAGAGTCAGAACCAAACAAAAGAGCAGACATTTTACAAAGAATCCATTTATTAGAATAAGGAAAATAATGACAAGCATTATATTCCACAAAGAGGAATAATCCACAAAGAAGAAATACAGTATCGTACTAAATTGAGATCTAGCCATTCCTGCTTGAGAAGAAAGGGGATAAAATTAGATTAAATAATTTCATAAGAACACAATAATAATGTTAGCCTCGGGCAGTAATGCGCTTTAAATTTTACTCGGAACAAATAAGCATTACAAGGAGTGAGCTACATTTATGTAAGTGTAGTGTTAACAGTACACTCTGCTTTCGCTGACAAAAAGAGCAATGACCATAACTCTTCGGGGGGGTCCAAGATTTTTGCTGGTGGTTGAGAAATATTTGTCACTACATGTGTACATGTTGTCGTTGTTGGCATTTAGTGCTTTATACAGGTGACGGTGGGAACCAAGGAAGAACAGTTCTTTAGTACCAATCGGGCTACTCTGCTTAATAGGTCCTTGGCCGGCCTGAAGTGACATGAAACAGTCACTATTGTTAAAACTTCAACCTAAAATCAGCCGTCGGATAGACGTCGCGGTAAAGGTGTCTAGTTTCCTATTCAGTGACAACTCTACAGTACATAAACTAAAACGATAGGTGGCGTTGACAGACTAGTCAAGGCTCGCGAGATCTTGCGATATTGCACCGTTGCCAATGTGGAGATCCAATCATAACGGAGAGGACAATGTGCAGAATAAACTCTCCATAGCAACCAGCAACAAAGGGGCGCTCTCGCGTGTTGTATACATGTGTACATAGAGGGCAAGGAAACCGGTTGTTCCATTTGCTTCGACGAACCGAGTACAGAACAGGTGGATGTGGAGCACTGAGTCAGTCAACTTTGGTAAAGGATTTTAGTATTTTCATAGATTTAAGAGCTGCTATTGATATGTAGCTTAGATTTCTGCTCACGATCTCAGGAGATTTTTAGTCTGAGCTGATGAGGAAGGCCTAGAATTAGAAACTGACAAAAATACCGTTATGCCACTGTGTTGACTGGGACTGGAAGCTACCATGGCTACTGACCAGCTGACTGTGTAAATTCTTACCGTTGTCTTACTTTGGGGGTAAAGCGTGATTGGAAATTCAGCAGGGTCAAAAGAGGTCTCTTTCGGCAAAATTATGCCTGTGTAGGGACAGGAATGAAATAGTTTAAAATTGACTTTGTGTTGTAAAAACTTATCCTGTTTTTATAAGCCCAAGGGGCTAGCCCACATTTAATTTCAAGTTTCAGTTCAGCTTTTGGTAGGCCTATCAAATTAGTCAGTGTGGTGTTGGAGACTTTCCTCCTCAACTGCCAAAAGCCAGCTCACCACACCAAAAATGAGTGCAAAATAAGAACAGAAAGTACCTGTCACTCTGTTTGTTCTCGAATTATTAGAATGTGTACAACACACATACACATCAATGCAGCAAATCACTACAAGTAGAATGCTGCTAAAGTTTTGCTTTTGTTGATTATACTTTTCGTCAATGGTAATTCATATTTTACTGTACTCATGGTAAGTACAGTACATATTTTTAAAATCTAACTGTGACTTTTCTTTCCCCAGATTAAGCATCACATCTATCGTATCTCCAAAGAATCACCTGTCAAGATGGCGATGGCAGGATCGACCTTGCTTTCCAAAACCCGCACCCCACCAAAACCCATGTCTCCCTATAAAGGCACCGTAGGGACAAGGACTGACGCTGAGCTGGCCCAGAGCCTGGCCAATATGAGCAATCTCTCCGAGACCGGCATCAGGGGCTCAGCCATGGGTGCCCCTACGTCCATGGGCTTCCGGTCCGGCAAGCACACCCCCAAGGAGTGGCATGAGGCCAACTACTCCAAGTACTACCAGAGCTTCTCAGACAGGGACAATGCCGAGAGGCTGCGCCACGAGTCCAAGCAGCTGGCCAATGAAACCGAGGCACTCACGCAGCGTGTGCAGGCCGATGTCACCAAGAAGCTGGCCGAGAGGATGCACGACATCAACTTCTGGAAGTTTGAGCTGAACCGGGAGATCGAGGAGATGATTGAAGAGACTGACCTCCTGTGTGCCCAGAAGAAGCGGCTGGCCAATGCCTTGGATGCCACAGAGCTGCCCATGATGATCGCTAGAGACAACCTAGACTGCCGGGCGAGGCGGAGAGAAATTGACCTGGTTGGAGACAGGGTGGAGTTGGCATTGAATAAGGTACCAGTACTTAAAACATAACTCAACAATGAAGTCTCAGTTCCCTTTTTGGTTTTAATACAAAAATATTTGCAAAATCAAAATTGTTTGACTTAATCCACAATCCTCTCCCATTAAGAAATGTCTGAAAACAGGTTTTCAAAAGCTTAATCCTCATTTCTGTCTTGTTCATTTATTTTACAGGAGGTGGAAATTATCAGCAAAGTTCAGGATCTGCTAAAGAGAACCCTTGAGCAAGCTGACAGACAAATCAAGTGAGTATGGGTATAGCTCATCTTCTGCAAGAAGAAATATCTAAGACCTGCCCTTCCAACTGAACATAGTATAATTACTAATCAATTAACTAGCCAAAGTAAGAGACCATTTTTAAAATTGCCCCTTTGGTTCCAAGAATGATCATCTGTCCTGTTAAATTAAGCCCTTTGCTTACCCATCTCAGTCACAGCTTTTGGGTAAAGTCTAACATCCTTTGTGTCTTACTCTTCAGACTGAACCGAGGTGCCAAGCACAAACTGACCATGGATTGGTCTGATAAGGTCCGAGACTACAACATTGACGAAAAGTGTGCCAACCTCAACAACAATTCCACCGAGATCCAGTACAAAGAGGGCTCGGCTAAGTTTGATGCATCGTAAGTAATGCTGTAGCCCTGCTGAGCGTGCTCATGGATTCCCTTTTCTTTGATGATCGGTATTTATCAACTTACATTTCTCTACACTATGATTTGTAATCAGTGCTATTGTATTTGATCATTTGGGCCAAGCAATGCTGGTAAAGCCCCACAAGACAATGGGTCTGTTATCAAATTCTCATTAATGTAATAAGTCACTTTTCCACAAAGTGCACTCAATAAAGAACCAACAATTTGTAACTGAAGTAACTCTACGGAGAAAACTGTTCACAAAAACTGTGTATTATAATCACCATTGGTAAAAAATCAGCCATTATTTTATCGTTTTTGCAAGTGGTTATAACACTTATCTGTCAGTAGATGACTAAATAATGCTTCTCTCTTCTACACTTTTTCCTTTCCAGGCAATCTACACCAGAGTCGTGGGCTCAATTCTCCCACGACAATATTGTGCGTGCTGAGCACGAGCGTCTGGCATCCCAGGCCCTCAGGAATCTGATAGACCAGATCCTGACTGATACCTCCAATGACATGAGAGAACAGTGCAACACAGTCAATGCTGAGTTCACCAACCGCATCCAGGAGATGAACGATGCTAAGACAGCGCATGAGAACCACCTTCAGAAGGTAAAGAAAGAAAGAAAGCCGTTAAGGCCAGAACATACACTCGGGCTAAATCTGAATAAAATGAAACACCGTAAATGTGATCTGCAGAAAGAAAACTTGATCCTGAAATTCAACATTTTCAAACATTTCCTTTGCCAACAGACAGTTGAGGAGATTGCTGAGATGGAGAAAAACATTGACTACCTGGAGCAGGAGATAAAGAACAAGGAGGCACCCATGAAGGTGGCCCAGACACGCCTTGATCACCGAACCCATCGCCCCAATGTTGAGCTGTGCAGAGACCCTGCCCATTTCAGGTATTTAATATCTTGTACACATCAATTTAGCCTATTTAATGCACAACTAAAAAGTGCATAAGTGGACGTACACAAGTCATTTCAAATTAATGAACTACAGGTGTGGAGTAAAGAAATTTTTAGAGTTTTGAGGACTTCCATGGAGAAATTTTAGAGGAAGTTTCTTTTATGGAGGTTATGTACTGTAAATCACGAAAAATTCACTATAAAATTTATGAAAGAACCAGTAGAACACTAGGCCTGGAGGAAGTCAACAATTTGCACTGACACTTGCACTTGTTATCTATTTGGCTGATATCACAGACTTGTACAAGAGGTTGGCGAAATCCAGAACTCCATCGACAGACTGGAGCAGAAACTAGCTGACTCCCGGGCCTCGCTCAATGATCTGATGGCCACCCGCATGTCCCTGGAGCAGCAGATTGCCCTCAAGAAAAACAGCATCTTCATCGACCGCGACAAGTGCATGAAGTTCCGCACCCGTTACCCCTCCACATCTAGACTGGTTGGTTACCAGTAAGATGCAGTCAATAAGGTCTCTTCCTTGTTTGTCTGAAAGGCCTGGGAAATTGTTTTGTCCAGGTTTCTTGATCAAATAGAAAAGGTGCTATGTGGATTGACAAAATGGCATTGAACTGCCCACTTGGAAAGAAAATGATCCATAGCAGCTTTAGAATTAAAAGCATTTGGAATTAGTGGTTAAAAAAAAACATAAAACTGAGACGACCTTAAAGTTTTTTTTCAGCAATGCTGTCAAGGAACCTTGACTACAAGTCTTTCAAAGATGAGGAAAACCCTAAAAGGTTTATTTTGTGAAGACAATATTTGTTTTGAGATACATGTACACTGAAAGACTATCTGCCTGGCAAAATGACAAGATTAATTTGGTGACTTAAAGCATTAAAGGAATGGGCTAGCAATTTTTGACATCTTAAGCTAGTTTCCAGCTTACAAGTTCAAATCAATATTGTAACTGTTGGGAAGGCTAGTGTAGTTTCTGTGTCGACTTCCAACAATATCACAGCCATTAGCCTTGAATTTAATAGAATTATACCTGCACAATACATCCCAAAAATTCACTTACCTTTTCCAATTCTTTTAAAACCAATTTTATGCAAAAGAAATTTTGTCCAGCTTGTAAATATATTAGCAAAAGTATTCATGCTCCAAAACATCTTTTCGTGACGTGACATTTGACAGCGACAGCTTGATAATTTTCGAGCAAATGAGTCTTTCCGTGCACGTTCCCAAAAGTATCCCTTAAAAATGTAAATTTAGAATGTTGTGTATATGTACATGTACAATAACCTTTCGTAGCGCTAATTTAATCCGTCCTACTTACTTTTTATCATATGATGCACCTTATCATCATAATTGCTATTCATAATACCATGTGCACATTAAATGAACTCCTAAATAGTGCTTGCAATTTTCACTGTTTTGTCTAAGATGCTCTGTTTGGTACAAAAAAGTATTTTATTTTGCAACTGTATGTGTTCTGGAAGAATTTGCTTTCAATAAAATTGCATGAGATGAGTAAAAATAGAACTCCTGTTGCGCTTTACTTTGAACCTGTATGTTAAAGGCATTAAAGGGACACCGCTTTGATAAAAGAACTTCCGAAATCTTCGATCTGTGTATAAAATACTACAGTATATGCATGTGTTTCCTGTTTCCCATTACATTGTACTTGTTCACATATTTTAGATATTTCAGGGTGAATTATTTTTCATGAAAACATGAAGCCAGTCCTGTTTTTTGGAGGGTCTAATATTGCTTCCACAAATCTACATTTACAGCTATTTTTCCAAGGGAAAAGTTCACATTTTGTGTAGTCTCTTGTCTTCAAGTATGTCAAAAATTTTATAACAAACGTAAAACCACACCTCTCATTGGTGAAGGTGGTGTACTGTGGGTAGTAACTGGGTGTGACATAAACATGTACATCGTATATCATATGCATGAACACTCAACCTGTAATTTAACAACAGTAGATTACATTTATTAAATCCACTCAAAAAGTTGCCAATGCAAAACCATGCAGGAAGTGTCACCTGAAATGAATGGCAAAAAAAAAAGCACCCGCTGTCATCATTCCCTTTAAAATTCAACATCAGAATGATTTTTTCCCAAACAGCAAGTGGAAAGTCGTCAGACCAAATGACAGTTCTACAGTTTTTAGACTGCTAAAGACATTATTCGGTCTTTTTAACAGCATGTTAAGAGCAACAGCATGTTTTAACAGCAAGTTCAAAAAGAGGAAATTGGGTGATTGAGAAAAGTTCCCAGCCTGTTGTTTGTAACACCAACGTTCATTTTGCAGATGTAAGCAGGCAAAACACTACCAAAACTATGTTTTGTCAACATACGCATGCATGTGTGTTTGGTTGGTATTTGATCTAACAATGCTTTTTACAACCTATGTAAACCAATAGTTGCAGAGAAAAATGAAATATGCCAGGTACTTCAAACAGGTTTTACTTCAAAAAAAGTTTTCTTTCTATCACCGTGCAATCTATCATTAATTATACTTGGTTGAATTCAACTTCATCTTTACAAGATCAACTGCCAACAAAAACCAATATTCTCATTTGCACAGCAATCCCCAAGACCACATTTACATGTACACATACAGTTTGTCCATTTTGGCAAATGAAGTACAGCACTCCACAGAAATCTGGAAGGGAAAGAATGTGTACATTGTACATTTGTGTCACGTCATTTCCTGACCTGTACATTATGTGCATCTGAACTGCAGGAAGGAAGCAATGACCACTGAGGGCAATAAACAAACACCCACTGTCTATTACAGACCCTCTGCAGTGGCATACACCTGGCATCCATCATTTCGCAAACACTCATTTCAAACCGTTTCTGTGGTAAGCCCAAAAATGCCACGAGAGGTCTCTGTTGTGCAGTGGGTTGTATGGCATTTAACCTCTGCTAAGGAACTACACAATGTACACTGTACATCAAGATGTGAGGTACGTCTATGCATGTACACTTTTTCCAATTAAAATCTCTTCATACACCCTTTGCTTAATTTTCATCGGATTTCATGTGTGTCAAATTCAACATCTGCAACTTCTTTAACTCTACATCAATACGTGTACATCATCTGGGGCATCACTGGCTGGCCTCGTTAGCCTTCCTCCTCTCTTCGAGCATACGGTGCTTCTGTTTCATCATGCATCTAACAGCAGTGCCGGCCGCTCCCAAACCTCCATCTGATCAAAGAAACATATCCCACATAAAGAAAAATTAACGCTTGGGCATGTATATGACCGTAACTGGCCTGGCATTTTTTGTTAGAGACAATCTCAAATCTATCAATGTTGCATTCTTTGGGCTCCAGCTTCCAAGTGCCTGAGCAAAATATTCTTCAATCTTACAAAAAGCTTTCAAAGACCTAATGACAGATTATGAAGGACCTGGTGGGTTCAAGGTTAAGGTCACAACAACAAATACTGCTGAAACATATTTGTTCTTGGAAGTTTTACTAACATTAAAATACACATGAATTACACACAAAATTATTGAGCTGACTTTTGAGGGGGTATCTAATGGTTGGTTTTTTTTTTTACCAATACATTCATCCATCAAAGCTGACTTCTGAATTAGAATATCCTTATATTTCATCAATTTAGGAGTAAAACTGATGTCAAAGTGCAGCATTTTGCTCCTATCATCTACAAAAACATTCAACGCATCAGTGACTGTCAGGTTGTGCTGTGAGAACTCTCTTTTCCCAAACAAATGTCATGGTGCAAAAACCTGTAATATGCATGCACTTACAGAGCACATAACGAGTGAGACTAGCCACTGTTGGTTGGGTTAGGCAACATACAGGTAACAGTCTGAGACAGCTGGTAGGGCCAATTAGGCCTACAGTCTCCTCCCATAAGATACACTCCAACTTAAAACAGAACAAGTAATCCTCCCCCACCACCCACCATCCACCCCCCTTCTGACTCACATTTGGTATCATAGTTTGTTGCGGCCACATCATATTCGTCTAGCAAGGGTTTACATGCAAACTTGGCATTGGGCCCTTCCCTTGTTGAGCACTCGCCGAGAAGTTTCTGCAGGCGGATTATGATCTCCTGATCCACCAACCTGAAAGATAACAGCAGTTAAATTACAGCAGCCTGGCTTTTAGCCCCATAAATGTTTAGGTAATTCAGTCAAATAGTTTCGGTTTGTAAGATGTAGTGTGGTAGTAATAATCCAATGGCACAGTTTTTACACTAGCCAATGATTAAACAGATATTCTTGTAATTTCACAGAGGGCATCTTTTCTTGAATGGTTGGGTTGTAATTGATTGCAGTTCAATGCCTTGTTTAGCCCCTTACCACCTCCTATCCCAATCAATGTGCCAAAAATTCAATGTCTGGTTTTTCCTGATTTTGTGAAAGTCAGGACTACACAGCCCAACCAGTAATCCTTCACATCAGGCACAACTACTGCACAGTCGTTTACACATTTTTCTCCGTGTTTCTGTCAATTTACAGGAAGATGACAAGCACATTTTCATTTTCACGTAACTTTTTTAATCATTCACGTTATTTGTTCAAACACAATAGAGGACAAACGTTTGCACAAGCAGTTCACAAATACTTGCTCCATAGTTGTGAGGACTGCAGACTTGCTGAACGATAGTTGTATGAAGGAAAAATTCATTACAGGGATACACAAAAGTCCACACGCTCTAGTCCTACATTTCGCAAAGGAAACTCTCCCCTTAGGTAAAGTACTGAGCTCATGAATAGAAAACTTGTGGAGTTTCAGCACCTATCTCTCCTGTACTGCATCTCTGCTTCGTACAGGCACACATAATCATCAGTGTTGCAATCTTCAACTGGAGTCACACGTCGGTACTTCCTGTGGTAGTAGGAGTAAGGGCGCCTGTTCTGTTGCCGCTCAACAAAATCTGTCCCCCAAAAAATCAGTAAATCGGATTATAAAGTAAGGCCTACTTGGCTAAATTTTTTCAGTATCTGCAAAGCTAATGTTGTTCAGTACAGCTATATTAGACCAAGTAAAGAAAACAATGTTTAGCATCCGCTATTTGCTTGAAAGAAAGGAGGTGACATTTTTTGTTGTAATTTCCCACAAGCATTGGTGTTTCCACCATTCAAAGATACAAACACAATAAACATGAATGAGAGAAGAAAACTGAACAAATATTTGAACAATATAGTCAGATTACAAATGTGATACCACCACCATCAGAGCACAGTTGAACAAGAATAAAACGCAGCTATTGGGGACGTGTGCACGTTGTAGTTGTTGACCAAATATTCCATCATAATCATGTGAAGACGTGGATGGAATGGAAGAGGTGGAAAATGACCAGCAGGGTTAGAAGTTGCAACTACAAGTAAGTAGGCGTAGCATGCATGGTAGGTAGTCCTATTTTCCAAGTTTTTTTTTTCATTACTGATGGATGATGGATTGGCTGTCTTTTCTTATTTTTCACCTCATTTTCTTTGGGATCTTGCTGATCTCAGCATAGCACGGCAGATATACCCCCAGAACTGCAGGGTCTGACGTCTGCTCTTCTCCCATGAACCCCACAGAAAAAGAGCCTTTTTCTCCATAGGCTATGCATGACGCTTAACAGGGCACAAACAGCGATTCTATTTGTAGCCATAGAAATGTTGCTTCATTTCCCCTCAGAGTTTTATGTAAGATAGCTTACATACCTTTGTTTTGAGTACCAAGAAAGAAAAAGGCCAAAACCATGCCTTTTTAATAAAAAGAGGTGCAACTATTTCCTGGTCAGTGTCTAAGAGTCATGCGGCTCACATACGTACTTGCGAAGATGAGCCACGACCAAATGGTTGGCTGCGGCTATGATCGATACACATGACATGGAAAGTGGCTACAGCCACTTTCCGTACGTGTGTGTATAATTCTTAGCCGCGCAGCCGTTGGGGACCAGTGCACGTAAGCGTGCTGTCGCACAGCGAACACTTTCTGTTGAGTGGCTTTGTGTACCCAACAGCTGTTGCTTGTCTTCCTTCAATTTGGGCATAAATAATGAGGAGCCCTGTGATTGGTCAGTGTGACCCCCAGCGCACTGCAGCCAACTGCCATTTCAACCAGTGGGACTAAGAATTACACACACACGTACAGAAAGTGGCTGTAGCCAATTAACATGGTTTGGGCCCATTTCTTTCGTGGTACTCAAAACAAAGGTATGGCGGAAATGAAGTAACATGGGTACACCACTCGAATGGAATTGCTGTTCATGCCCTGTTAAACGTCATGCACAGCCTATGGCAAAAAAGGCTCTTTTTTCTGTGAGGTTCGTGGAAGAGGAGCAGACATCAGACCCCACAGTTCTGGGGCACAGCAGACAAACAAATCAATTCCCTGATCTGCCATTATTTATGACGTTAGGCCAAGGCCCCTAAATAAATGTAAGATGAAAAAAGGGGTGGTTTGTGTCGCATTTCCTTAATTGGGTTTTGGATATGAGACCGCTTCCTGGCAAAGGGGCAATTCACATGATCAAGGAAAGAAGGAAAAGACACGGCTTTTGCAGTATTAACATGTAAAATATAAACATGTACATGTATGATGTGCTGAGTTAACTTTGGATTTGTCAAGCGCCCTCTCTAGTCGTGCGCTGCTGGATGGAGTGTCTAATAACTGCAAATCTTGGCATGGCTTTGTAATCACTTTTTGAGTGCACGAACTTACCTCTAACAAGGGTGACCGGTGCATCTACAGTATAATAGAAAGCTTTCCCTATGAATTCGTCAAGAACCCCCATTTTTACCCCGATTAGGTAAAAAATAAGCAGAGAAGATCAGCGACTTTCTCACTGTGCATTCTCTCATTAACTCAAGAAGATCATCGTCGGTTCGGTCATGTCAAAGGGCAAAGGCCAATCGGATAACTAATTTCAGCCCAAAGTGTATCTTTCGGAAAAGGAACGTCTAAAATCAGATATTAAATCACTATAATTCGTAACAATTTTTCAAAGACATTCCCGAAATGCTCAGTGGCTTTATGAATTCTTGGGATAAAACTTTTATCCAAAACTAGTGCGTTCCGGCAGTGCTGGTGCGCGTGCATGCGCGGTGCGATAATCTGGACTGGTTCCCGCCCCTTACAGTCAACTTTTAACTGCAATGTCAATAGTGGCAGTCGGAAGCCAGTCTAGCAAAAACAGGATCGTGTTTTGTTATCTGGCACCCTGACTTCACTACTCATATGAGAATACTGTTCGGAGACCTTCTGTCCAGATTCCCTCTTTATCGGTCTCTTTCGCAACCTCCGAAATTGGCAATGGTGAAGAAAATTGAGATGAATATTAAATCAGTAAAATGTTGCCTTTTGACTTGCCATCTATGAATAAAAATACAACAATCTTTAAGTCTTTGTAGAACTTTGGCCATGTGGTATTTTATTTGTTCGTATGATTGTGTAGATTATGTGATATTTTAAAAACAGTATTACAGTAAAACCATTCAACAGGGTCATGCTATTTTAGCGTCTACAGGCTATTTAGGCATATTCATAAAAAAAGTTTGTATTATTTTCAATATTAGGCCCTAACTAGGCTCCTGTTAGATTCAAAATAGTCCCAATCACATTTACCTGAAATTTTATTTTTTTGTGGACAGTTGAGCGACAAAGTCATGCCTGAGGGGGCGCCTGCTCATTCTATAACTTCTTTATAGTAAGCAATCGCAAATACTATAAACTGATAAATGGGTGATTTGATACAATGCCTTTCTATCATTGTGCAAAATCACCCATGCAGTATTTGCGATAAAGCTTATCGGGGATTGTATACTTGGGGACCCCAAATTTCTTTTACATTTTAACCCTCCTATGCTGAAGTCACTCTTTAGGTCAGTTGGTAAACGGCTCAAAGAAGCACAGCTGTGTCGTGTTGTGCACTGCACCAACTGTCCCTCACAGGAATATCAGATTGCACTTTTGTCCTGTCCAACAACTGCTTCACTGTTTCATGTGCATAATTGTGCAGGAGACGAAATGCAGTGAAGAGGACTGCACAAAAGACCCTGTGTCATTTTGTGCTGGCAACCAACTGTGTACACACTGAACCTGTGCATCTTTTTGTTTCATATAGAAAATACATGCAAGAGAGTGACAGTGGGCACTTGTGCATATTTGTGCTGTTAAACCAAAGGAGGGTTGATAGGGTTTTGAAGGAAATTTTGAGGGGAAACCGTCAATGTTTTAACACAACACATGTTGAATTCAAATTTGCATAGTTAATGTATCAGTAAAAAAGTCACATTTTCTCACAATTTACTATTTGAAATTTCTGAAGAAAAAAAATTGAGTCGGCGCAATAAAGAGAGTGATGCCTTTCTTTTTGGGGGGACTTACCAATTTTGCAGGGTAGCCCTTTTTGACAACATTACCCTACAGTTATTGAGCATGATGTCACAGTTGCCCACCAAGGTCAATTCAAAAGTTAAAATGTAACTCTCCCTTCTGTTATAGGAACAGGGTCCCCAAATTTACAATCCCCTGCTCATCATGCTTATGCCATGCAGTAGAGCCCAACCAGCGGGTCATGTTATTCTCATAGTTGGACGTCGGGGATTTTCTCTACATTATTAAAAAGCATTAGCACAAAGGCTAAATTTGCCCCATGGCGAAAGTCCCCATTTCCAACTGCGAGAATTTAGGGTCAACAAAGCGTCAACCAGTTATTCAAGCATATTTATTGCGCAGTTGCAATGACGTCACTGTGTCTCAATTCTTCTCTCTGATTGGTCAATTGGTGGGTATTCCGTACTTCCTGAACAGTAAGGCACTACTCCATAGGCCTTGCTGATGTTTGATGGCTCTTGATAAAATCTTCCCCTAAAAAGCCCAAAATAATGAGTAACCTATATGAAACTACTGGGCACGTGTGTATTTTGTAGAGTGTAACCTACATTATTGGCAAAAAATTAGCTTTTTCCTACTGTCCTGACCTATGAATCCCTGGACGATCGGCACACATCTGCATTAGTGTGGTTCCCTGACCACAGATTTCCCTGACGTCTCTGTACCCAATCTTAAGGAGAGTAGTCAGAATTATTGGATCTTGTATTCAAAACAACATAAACACTCGTTATGCTGCGCCTGTATTTGTCCTGTGACGTACAGCCACAGAACAGAATACATATTTGTGGATCGTCAAGGGATTTATAGGTCAGTCTATGTATGCTATAATCGGAAGTTACATGACCTGCTCTAGTGTAGTACATTGTGTCAGTTCGTTGATAAGACTGGCCTCTGTACTGATCCGTCTTTGCCGGGTTTTTGCCTAATTAAAAAAAACAATGAAGTTTGTGTGGCCCGGAACGCAAACAGTTTGGTCATATGTCGTCAATTTACTGAAGTCAAATTATTTCACCTCTGAGATGTGGACAAGTTGGTAGGCAAATTGAAGGTATTTCAAGCCTTTGTCAAGTCTTTGTCATTTTTGTCACTTTCCTGGGGACTCACTACTAAAAATCACACTTATTAACTGGAATGCGGGTGCGACTGACTGTTTAGAAATCATCAATCAAGTGCAACGTCCCAGCAACTAACGTCTGTGCCATATACTTCCCAGGTCCCTTATTATAATTTGCCACTTACTGAGAAAACCAATCAGACTTGACAGTAGTTGGCGAAATCAGGGACCTGGCGACTTTACGTTATGCATGTTAGGTTTAGGTAATGAATGTTTATTTATCTCATACTTTATCGTATGTTTCCCACAGTCTCATCGCAAGTTCTCTGCGCCCCGCCATGGCTCCCTGGGATTCCTGCCCAGGAAGCGCTCTCGCCGTCATCGTGGCAAGGTCAAGGCGTTCCCCAAGGATGACCCGTCCAAGCCTGTGCATTTGACAGCATTCCTTGGCTACAAGGCAGGCATGACCCACATTGTGCGTACGGTGGACCGACCTGGATCCAGTAAGAGCCCTCTTGGTCTAACTCCGCTCTTGTTTCATCAATCAGGGTGATATGTTTTGTGTCGTTGCCACTGCACCAAATTGGTGTGTCCAACTTTGCCATGTATCACTCTAACCGATAGTTTACACTGTAGTAAACCCTCACTATTGTCAGTCATTCAAATCAAAATGGAGGTTTTGTGGTTGTGGAACCAACCAAGCAGTGTACATTATACCTCAGTTAATTGACATGGGGTGAGGTTTTAACCATTGTTCTCAGAGAGATACCTCCCTTCCCAACAATCGACAGGGCCATCTCACATACACTCAACAAGGGATACATTAGGGGATGCAAGATCGGCAGAGGAAAGAGATGCAAAGTTTGTCAAAAGGCACTAGGGGCAAGGATTTGCTGGCTAAGGGATTGCTGCTTTTATTCCATTCATGACGAACATGTACATGCACTAGAAGTAGCCCTTTAACAGTGCCGAATGCTACAAAGTACTACTTAGAAGTAGAATGTAGTACTCAGCCCTGTCGCTTGTAAGAGGACATAACATTATTCTCTGAAGTCATAAGATACAATAGAGAAGACAATGTACCATACAGTGCTGTTGCACTGCGAATGCATGGTTTCATTGTTCTCTGTAGGAGTAACATGGAATAAACCTAGCCAGAAATAGTAATTTGTAGGGCTAGGTCCTTCAGGCTCATAGTGTTACATAGTTTTTTGTAGTAGTGAGTACTCTAAGCCAAACAATGCCCGGTTTTGTTAGGGTTAAACCTTCTTTTCTTGGTATGATTTTGGGCTCGTCAACCAATTAAATAGGCTTCATATGGAGTGAATTGGAGGGTGCCGTGTGCATGTTGGATTAGCTTGACCTCCCATGTTTTGCTGGAATGTTTTGCCAACAGGGAAGCCTGCCTCATAGCACGAGGCAGCCTGGTTGAGTGAACCTGCTCTGAGCAGGAGCAAGAGAGAGCATTTTTTTAAGTGGCAGTGATGGGTCCCTTGTTGGGAACTCACTTCATGCATATGCAGGGTTCATGCATGGTTGGCACGGGCAGCACTGATCATGGCCCACCAGTATATTTCAATTTACAGTCTTAGCATGTGGGCGAGGCGCATGCTCGCGCCCACTTGAAAAAAAGGTCCCACCAGCCTGCTCTTCTTTACCCATTACCTCACTGTCTCCTTTCTCTGCAGAAATGAACAAGAAAGAAGTGGTTGAGGGTGTGACCATCGTGGAGACTCCCCCTGTGGTGGTGGTTGGTGTGGTCGGTTACATCGAGACTCCCCGGGGTATGCGTTCCCTCAAAGTGGTCTGGGCTGAGCATCTGAGTGACGAATGCAAGCGTCGCTTCTACAAGAACTGGTACAATTCAAGTCAGCTGTTAATTGAAAGTTGGTGAAAACTTACAAACCGAAGCCATGTAGATATGGCTACATGATGGAGAACTTTCTTGAAACTACCTAAATGATATACAAGATGATGGGCATTAAAGATTAAAGGATTGAGCATTGCTCTTTCATCCTTTTATCTCTCATGCATAGTAGAAAATTTGATTTATTACTAGAATTTCAAAATCAGTTGCCTTGCAAGACACTTTTCAGTTCATGAATTGTTCCTTAAAGAGCTATTTGAAAAGCTATTTGTGCCATAACTGCGTGACCATTTAAAATTGACATTGCTCTCCACTCTGCCTTTGGCGGACGAGAACAAGCTTAATTTCCACGGCTCCTCTCGGCATCACTGAGCCGATGAACCGTGCCCCTGACCCGCCCCTCCTGAGTACCCTTCTGGGGCTCCGCTCCTTACCCCCGGGTACTGGATGAGCCCACAAGGCCTCTCCTCTCGCGTGTGCTTCACGTGATGAGAGCCAAGAATTCTCTGACCCCCTCTTTTAGGCCCCCCTTTTTTTCTCTTCCCCCGTCCCATCTGTGCATGACACAGGTACCGCTCCAAGAAGAAGGCATTCACCAAAGCCTCTAAGAAGTGGGCGGATGATGCCGGCAAAGCCGAAATTGAGAAGGACTTCAAGACCATGAAGAAGTACTGCAAGGTTATCCGTGTCATTGTGCACACCCAGGTAAGTTGAAAGGCTTTTGTGTTTTTGTCTAAAGAATGAAGTTACACATGTGAATCGGTTACCTAAAAATGAATTTGAATTCAAATCAGCATATCTCTGGCTTGACAAGACGTTAATTGGCATTCGTAGACGGCGCCTCTTTTTTTAAGAAGGCATGTTGATGTTGTAATGTGAAAAAAAGTTTTAAAGCAACATGGATTCTTGTCTATTCAAAACATGAAATACTGTGTTCTGTGTGTACAGACAGTGACAAGGCTTAAGAGAATAAAATCCCAAAAATACTTAAAACATACAAATTGGATATTTTGGAATTCCAGGTATTAACGGTTAATAACTGCTTATGTGTGGTTTAGTGTTCAGAAAGGAGATTACAAGCTTTCTCGCAAGTTGAGCAAATCTCAGCATTATTCAAAAAAAGGAACAGAGAAGCAGCCACATTTCTTTTCCCTGATCCTAGTCCGTCCTCACTTGTTAATTTTTCCACTTTCCTTTTCTTCCTCCTCCTCCTCTCCAACCCACCCATCTTCCCCCTCCCAGATGAAGCTGATGAACCAACGCCAGAAGAAGGCCCATATCATGGAGGTGCAGCTGAACGGTGGTAGTATCGCCGACAAGGTGGACTGGGCCCGCGAACACCTGGAGAAGCAGACCCGCATCACCGAGGTGTTCGCCCAGGACGAGATGATTGATGTCATCGGGGTGACCAAGGGCAAAGGATTCAAGGGTAAGATGAGATGTTTAAAACAAGAATCCCCGGCCTGGACCTTAAAGCTTCCCAGCACTCCAATGCATCATGAAAATGCTTTATCAAACGAGAAATCCCACTTGTGTTTCTGTGATGACATTCTATTTTTGCCAGGCCCACAAACCTTATACTGAACTCCTTTCATTAATGTTTATTTTGGCTACCAAGTCAGCACTTGGCATCCAAATTAACCGGAACTCTGAGGGTGTGTGAAGAATCATCGTGAAGTTAAGGACAGAGGACAATTAGATGAAATGACTGTTGGTTCCCAACCCTTCAGCCCATAGTAGTTACTACAGCCTGCAGTGATAATGATGATAAGCCATGGATTGTGCCAGTTTGCCCTGGTACCCAGACCACCCCTTGGTGAAATTCCATGCTGCCTTCCTTCTGACAAATCACATGCTGTCCTCTGTCTGCTTGCTACTGGGTCCCATGCAGGAAGTGTTGAGGTCACCTCAAAGTCCAGTCCTGCAAGCCTTGATCAAGTTTGGTCACAGATCATTGGCTGAAACGTCGTTGATTCGTAATGTATCCTGTACCGTCACACTGGTGGTCAAGGGTGAACTATAGAGGATTTTCTGTCACATGATTTTTTGACGGTCAGCATTCAATTTACGCCGATTTGCACGGAAACGTGCACGCCTTTTAAGTATTTCAACATTCTTGTGTACATGAAAATGCCAATAGAAATACAAAGATTCAGCATGGTAGGCTTCCTGAAATGCCCTTGCCTGTCATGTTGCGTCATGTGAAAAACCCCTGTTCTCGTCAAACAGTGCAATCAAACAGCATCAAGACCTTGGTCCTTCCGGTACAGTGTGATTCACATCTGTTGTTAGCAAGTATTTCCAGCAACCTCTGTAGTTTGGCCCAAATATGTGACTATTTCACCCTTTGCCACCATGGTCAACTGTAATACTGTGTCGTCAAAAGTTGGAATATTTCAATGGGAGAGTGAAGTTTTTTTGATTACATTTAGACGTTTGGTTTGATCTGCAGTGCCTGTTTAAGGTTGACTAGTGTAATCTGCCTGTTGAACACAATTTGAAGGAATTTGAAAACTTCAGTCTGATGAGGGTAAGGGTGATTACTTAAGACTCTTTGTAAGCTTTTCATCTGTCCCTTCCCCCCCCCCTTCTCCAGGTGTGACCTTCCGTTGGGGCACCAAGAAGCTGCCTCGCAAGACCCACAAGGGCCTGCGCAAGGTGGCCTGCATCGGTGCCTGGCATCCAGCCCGCGTGGGCTATGGTGTGGCCCGTGCTGGCCAGAAGGGCTACCACCACCGCACGGAGCTCAACAAGAAGATCTACCGTGTGGGTGAGGGCTTCCACCTGAAGGAGGGCAAGCTGATCAAGAACAATGGCGCCACTGACTTTGACATCACTGACAAGAGTGTCAACCCTATGGTACACATTTTCATCACACTAGCCTAAATGTATTGTCATGCCTACCTGTATTGATGTTATACACCTTGCATCTGTGTAATCTGGTCCAACTATCAATTTGACCACGGTGACCACTTTTATAGTTAGTATGCAGAGGCAGAGTTCACTCTTGCCATTTCCCATCGCGCTTATCTTGTTGATGCAGCCACCTGAATCCAGCTATTGTAGTTAAGGCAGGGGTGAGATTTCTGAGCTTTTTAGCCGATTTCAGCTTTTTTTTTTCCTCACTGGCTGTGTACAAAAGTATAGGAGATTTTCATCAGGTCAGCTTCTTTGTGCCTTTTTTCAGTTGTTTTCAGCCATTTGTATCATTGGTCAATCTCACCCCTGTCAAGGTCATCTAAGTCCAGACACAAAACTAGTCAACAAGAGGTTCAACAATGACAAAAGACTGCTGTTGCCGCAGTGCGTTTGAATGGCTTGTGACTTCAATTCAGGCTGGAGGTCTTGTGATGGGTTTATGGGGTCTTGTGATGGGTTTATGGGGTCTTGTGATGGGTTTATGGGGTCTTGTGATGGGTTTATGGGGTCTCGTGATGGGTTTATGGGGTCTTGTGATGGCGTACGAGGTCTGGACCCATGGCTCATCTAGCAGTGAGAATGCAAATAGGGATGCACTGGGAATGTCTTCCATTCGTCTGTGCTTACTGCTTAGCTGCATTTGCAGAATGGGTTTTTTATGAAAGAAACAGGCAATACGCTGTGAATTTTGTGCTTATTCAGCATATTCACTGGTGCGCCTTTCACACACTGCACTCCACAATTCCTCGGCAGGAAGGAAAGCGTTAGGTGTTAAACGTAAGTCATAGTTAATGTTTTTTTTCTGTTACAGGGTGGCTTCCCGCACTACGGTGAGGTCAAGAATGACTTCCTGATGCTGAAGGGATGCATCATGGGACCCAAGAAGCGTGTCATCACGCTGCGGAAGGTGAGTAGTAGATTTGAAAGCAGCCCCTGTCTTTTCGGTTGTCCCGCGTTATTTCAAGACCTGATCATCTTGGATCTGCAAAGCAGAGAAGTACACTGAGCACAGCAAAAGCAACAGGTTACCAGACAAACTGCTTTGCAAATTCTATTACAAGAGACCGGTGCTCTTCTCAGTTTCTTCAGCACAAACATTTCCTTAACCCTAACACTCCTCAGTCCTCCAACAGGCGAAGGATTGAGGAGTGTTAGGGTTAATGAATTCTGTTGCTAAGCAGCTCCCTGAAAGCGGATCTACGCTGGACTTGGTGGTAAATGATGATAAGCCATGGATTGTGCCAGTTTGCCCTGGCATTCAGACCACCCCTTGGTGAAATTCCATGCTGCCTTCCTTCTGACACCAAATCTATTATGCTTATCTCTTTGACATGTTATTTGTTCAACAGACTGGGCCAGGCAAAGAATCTCAGACGATTCTAGTCTTGCAAGGCCTCAGTCTGCATTAGAAGATTGACTGCACCCCCCATGTACCCCCCCCCCCCGTAACTTTTGTCATCCGAACTTCCACTTCGTGACACATCTTGTGCCTCACCTTCCCCTTTCAGTCCATGTTGGTGCACACCAAACGCAAGGCCTTGGAGAAGATCTCGCTCAAGTTCATCGACACCACCTCCAAGTTTGGTCATGGCCGCTTCCAGACCCACGAGGAGAAGAAGACCTTCATGGTGATTACCTTAAGAGTGGCTTTCAGACTGAGGGATTTATATTACCCCCGAACTCGGAGCCTGTAATTGTGTCCGAAAACAGTAGTTTTCTTTCAGAGGTGCTCCTGCAGTATTGTTGGGGTGATCATGCCACACCTAATCAGGCAGGAAGTAATATCCTGAACCGGCCCTCTTTTTTTTTTCCAAGAATATCAATTTCAAACGGTAACTCGCCAAGACCCAGTTAAGTCCGGCGTGGCAATTGGTGCTTTGCTCGAGGGCTTGAATTTTGTGAGCTGTACATGAGTCACGAGATTGTATGAGGTAGCAGTTTCTGTCCACATTATGTGGTGAGTGAAGTATGAATTGTTGAAAATATCTGGTTCAAGTGTTTGAAAAGGTAACCCTTAGTTGTCAACAGGCTTCCATTTCAAACAACTGTGAAAGGCATTTTAGATGCCATTGTCCAAATTTGTCCCTACAACTTTTGCGGAAATTCAGTCAAACTCCAAATTTTTTTTTCCTTCCTCTGTCCTGAATTTTCAGGGTCCGCTCAAGAAGGATCGCATCAAGGCGGAGCAGGCCACAGCTCCCTAGGAAGGATGCCACATCACATGTCTCTGGAAAACAACACCTGACACACTCACTCCCAGAAATGAATCACAGTTTCACCGTAAAATATAAAGCATTTTTTGTGAAAGTATTGATGTATCACATAGCACATTATCAAGTTGTCGGTACACAGAAGATGCCACATGAATAAGGTGGTTGTTATTCCAGTACATGAATATTTTGCCCTGAGCCACTAACTAGGAGCTGAGAAAAACACAGTCCAGCTGTCAAAGGAACAGCTTTGCGGAGACTGAAGTCAAATAAATTTCAAATTGCAAAAAAAGATGAATTGTTTGAATGGTGTCTGTGTCTCATTGCTGTCCTTTTATGTAATTCTATGTCTGTAAGAAAGTCTTATCTGCCTTTTTCCAGGCACCAGGGGTTGTCTGACAGTTGGTTTGCTTTTGGATTTTTGATGCCTGTGCTTGCCGTTTGCTTTTATTTTTGTGAATGAATTTGATGTTTGTTGCCCCGCAGGCTACCTTAAAATGGCAGTTACCTTACAGTGGAACCGACATTTTATAATTAAGTCAACCTAAGGAACTGTGGTTACAGTCAATTAGTATCTGAAAAGGGAGAAATGAAAGAGAGATTGATCGTTAACAGATCTTTTATTATGAAAAGTGAAATGTAAGTAGACACATGCAAGGGTGGCAGGGAGAATTCAGCTTTCTGACCGATTTCAGCTTTGTACAGATTTTCACTGTTAATTTAAGCACTTTTGCACCCCTGCTCTGTACAAAACTGGGTACTTTCAGTCTTGACAGCTAATTTTAGCGTTTTTATGTGGCCACTTGCACCCTGCATGTACATGTATAACCGTGTCTTGTGGGGCATTTTGTTAAGGGTTTTGTCAGCTTTATGGCGCAGGCTAAATAAATGTAAGTCGGTGCCGTGAAGGTTTTTTGGAAATATCCAAGGTTCATGACGTTCGACCAACAACCTCAATCAATGAACCAGATTTCCATTTAAAGCCTTCGGCGAAGACTTTTAGACATACGGAATAAGCAGACTCGCACTTGTCCGACCAAGACTTGAATGGGAACCATATCAAGAAAATCCACCAAGAAAATCTTGAAAACGTCCAATGGCGAGCCGCAAGGTTTGTTACCAGTGACCACAGACACCAACAGGAGACACACCTTGCAGCATGCAATGGGAGTCACTCCAAGACTAAAAAGAAACAGCTCGGCTTGCAGAACTCTACAAGGAAACCCATTGTATATTACCTCCATCTAACGTAATCCGTCCTCTAGTAAAAGAACACGTATGAACTAAATTACAAAGTTATCTGGTGAAACGGACTGCTACCGTTACTCAGTACATGTATGCCTCCGAACTGTCGCTGTCTAGAACGCTATTCCTCCTGCACCAAACTATTTCACGTGAGCTCGCTTCATTCAAGGTGTTGATCAACAATAATGAAACATTTTGCTACGCCGTGTATGATGGACTGCGCGTTGATAGAGGTGATTTGTGCCGTGCAAGACAAAACACGACAGAACTATGAAAACAGCTCTCAAGTTATTAGCCTATCATTTCATGGCACATCAACTGTCGCAAGCCACACCGGCATTGAGTCACAGCGTGGGAACATTAGAAAGGCCAGGATATTTGTGAAATTTTAGATGGGTTCATGGTTCAGGCGAAATGAATTTATTCAGCTGCACCTGATCACGTTTTCCCTAGTCTTTGACCCCATCCTTTTCACAGTAAACAATTAATCAAGATAAAGACATGTTCAATATTTTACACCTTGGTTTTGACAGGATTGTCGTAAAAATATATATGAGCCGAGCGCCAACTGACAATGGTAAATACATGTACATCCTAAGGTACACATTTTCCGGCTTTATGGAAGAGGACACAAGCAGTAAAAAGGTAGTTTTATTTGCCACAATGTTTGCCACTGACTTGATGAAAAACATTAACAAGTTGACAAATATTACTTCATATTCCAAATGGTCGCCCTATCTCAAATACATTTCACAAAGTTGTGAACACTACCTTGTAGTTTGATCTCTCTCTGACCTCTGGTAATTGTTACCACCGAGACGGTAAACTGTTCAAATATTTAGTTGACCATAACACGATCGGCACGAAGCTACCTAACAACAGCGAATGGTCTCGCAACAACAAAAAATGCAACAGTTAAATTACGAGTCGGCAATCAAAGTTAGGTGCCAAATGAATGTGTTTTTCCCCGAGGTGCTGTAAAAATGCAGCGTTAAAATCGATAGTACTTCCCGCGCGCCAAAAAGATGGCGGGGAACCGTCGAGTGTTGCTGGGTGTCGGACGTACTAACATGCACAAACATCATAGGAGAATGACTGATGATGTTGATGTATAACGTGCGAAACACGAAACGAATGATGGATGTTGAAATTATGTTCTTCAGTTTTCTCTTAAATGTCAACAGTGCTGAATGAAGCGATAGATTATGCCCCCCACCGCTTCACACATGATATTCTGAGAGTTAGACCGAAAAAAAACACAGCTGCCTTGATCTCAGAGATGGTGAGATATTTCACTCGTTCGAGCCGGTCGTTAAAATGCAGTTTATATGTTTTTTTTTATTTGATAAAACGATTTGCAGAGGCACCGATGACGATGTCGACTCGGTATATCAAAGGTTCATTATAGCTGGGAAGAAAGTCTAATACTCTGAGCCCTGATGTTAAATAAATAAATAACCTCCAGTCTGGAAAGTTTGGTTTTTCAATTCAATTCAGGAATAAAATATGGAATTCTCAAGAATATTATGTATAATCTTTGGGAAGCAAGTAAGTTATTATTTCAGGTTGTTGAGGTTTGGTACATTGGACCAAATTTTAATTTCAATACCCTAACAGGGGTGGATGTCGAAAGGGGTAACTAAATCAGTTTTAGTTCTTTGCTGGATTCCAGATACCTCTTTAGCCATCAGTTGATGTTAAGATGAGGAATTTTGTTTGCAGTTTGTCTTTTGCCTGTAGCGTCTGGTCGTAGCCACTCCAAGGCCCGATGAAACATTCAGTGGGGTGATGGCCAAATCACTAAGAAACGCAGCGAGTTCACGAAAACAAAATAAATACATGTATTCTCAAGAAAAGTTTGACTCGCACAGTTTTGAAACTCCTGACTTTCTGGTTAATTAAAAACCACAAGGCATTCCAAAGTCGTGAAGTTTAATTTCATCGACATTCTTTCCGAGCCCGCAGAAGTCAATGATTAATAGGTATGTGATTGATTACGAAGTAGCCCTTTTGAATAAGTTGACTGATTGATAAGACGATAATATCATATCACCGTCCTGCTCTCCGTGTCATCTGAATACTACGAATCTTTAATATCAATGCATTATTAACCAGCACCTCGTAAGCGTATTATATCGAAAACAATACATGTAAACTGTAATGCGATGAAATGATCTCTTATAATAAAAAAATATTGCCAGCAGTCGAGTATATCGGACGACCTGTTCAGCATGGAAAATCAAGTTGTCAAAAACAAAAACGTCATGGACCGGAGGGATAGCCTTATGCACCCACGCTTCGTGTAGGCCCTATATACTGTAGCAGCCCTAACTTTCGAAATTTAGTGTATGTAACATCACTTTAATCGTGTTTGATTTGGCACGGTCAAAACCAGTGACTTAAAATAATCCATAACTCCATTTGAAATAAATTTACCAATGAAAATTTTGAATCATGACTGGGCAAGAATGGCACAAATGCTCCATGTTGCATTTTGTATGTTGATAACACTTTTGCCCTGGGATGTTAGGCCAAGAGACACGGGAAACTGCAAAACCAAGATGGCTGAAATGTCGAACATCGAGGGAGAGTGTTGAAAAACAAAAATGTTTTGCCTCTTTGAGGATTTTTTTCACAATTAAGTGTCTGTCATGCGTGATATTGTAGATTTTCCTCACTGTAGAAACGTCACACTGGCAATGTAACACTCGAATAAATTCTTTTGAAAAACACAAAGTTTGATTTGAAAGAATGCGAAGATTATTCAGAATTATTAATTGAACTGACGCATCCTGTCCCATAGCATCCTTTAATCAAACTCCTCTTTACCTTTCAGATTTTTAAACCAATCTTCCGAAACTTTCCTCCTCCAGTAAGCAAAACGTGTACATGTATCTGAGTCCCAACAGGAATGCTGAAGATGATGAACATTTTGGCATTCGTTTTGGGTTTCCTTTCTTCCTAGTTTCAGACTTTTGTGCAAAATCTTGAGTGTGATTCATCTGGGAATATCCAAATAAATAATATTTCAGAATTCAATCAAATCTTTAGTATGGGTTATTTCCATGCTAAACTGACGGAACAGTGACTCGTATGTCAGGCAAGGAATCTCGGGGATTAAGTCTATGCAAGACTTGCCGCTCCCCGACCTGATCGTCCTCTGGCACCCGGCTGAGCTTGGGTGGTTGTAAAGTCTTGGACTTTCCTCTCGTTTCTCCCGCGGCATCAGATTCCTTCTCCCTCTCATTATGGACCTTGCGGCTCCGTGTTGATCTTGAGGTCGAGCCCGGACTTGGCCCGTCACCATCTGATAATTCCTGGTTGGGCAGTTCATCTTGTGGTTGTGTCCAGGTTGTGGGGGACCTCTTCATGCTCCCGCTACTGCCCCTGCTAGTACTCGATTTTACCCCAGAGTCAGTTGAGCTCGCGCTGCTTCTTCTACTCGTCACTTTCAACGTACAGTTTTTACTGCTGAGCTGTTTGTCACGGGGATGGTGGTAACGATGATGACTGGATCCTCTCTTTGAGCTTCGCCGGCGCTTGGACTTGGGGCCACGCCCCATTATATAGGCAAGAGTGGACGATTTCTTCTCATACACCGGCATTTCTGGAATGGGCTCGGGTGGGGGCTTGGCTGGTTTTCTGAAATTGCTGCTGAATTGACTAGAGTACGTTGTCAGCAGGGAGCCAACCGAAGCAAATTTTAAATTGCCGTACTCACTTGCCTTGGAGGTGTCGAACTCGCTGGATACGAAGCTTTTGGCAAAGTACCTCTCCTCACTAGTTCTGGAAGCAAGATCCAGCATTGCCATTGCGGTGTCCACAGACCGGTTCATGACCGAGGAATTCGATCTTGTTGCAGAAGGATTGCCAGAAAGATCCAGCGATCTTCTAACAACCCAGCTATTGGAATTCCGCTCTGCTATCCTCTTTGCATCTCTGTTCCAGTCCTTACCACCAATGATGTCTGATTTGGTGTTCATTGTCCCCTTGTGCCACCGGGGTCTGATATCCGGGAGAGACGGACTCTTTTTGGCGGTCACTGAGGGGTAGGAGTGACCTTTAGGTCGGTCCGGAAAGCGACTATAGATCATTTTGTGTTCTCTAGTGCGTTCCTTTAGCAATGCCTGGGCTCGGAGTCTTCTTAGGGCAGCCTCCTCGGCCCACTGCGTGGCGTTCATGTGCCGCTCGCGGTCGCAAATCCTTGGGTTGGCGTGACCATCTTTCTCCAGCACCGCGGCCACGTCGGCGAGGCCCATTTTGTGGGCTTGTATGAGAGGGGTAGTACCCGACTTGTCTGGCGTGTCCACCCCCATAGATCGATCTCTCATCAGTTTGACGATGAACCGGACCAGGTCCACGTTGCCACTGGTCACGGCATCAAAAAGCGGGGAGTGACCAATGAGATTTGTCCCGGCCAGATCAGCGGCCGCCACCCCCATCTCCTTGACAATTTTGCGGGCGATGCGCCCCCGACCCTGTTGGCACGCATGCTGAAACACGCTGGTCCTGCTATTGTCCGTCTCCAAAATGTCGGCGCCTTTCTTCAGGAGGAATTTGAACATGCGGTAGCTCTTGTCCTCGTCGGGGATGAAACACGCCACCATGACAGGAGTTTGACCGAGCCGATTCTTAGCATTGATGGGAACGGCACGGCGGAGCAATGCTTCAATTTGCTGGTATCGCAATGACAACACTGCATCAATCAGGCGTTCCGTCATCTTGTCTGAATCAGCTCGCTTCTCAGCGCAGCAACAAGCTTGAACACAGATTTTACATTGGCATAACTGGGGATATAAGAGGCTTAATGACGTTTCATACAACAGAGACAAAACACCTACAGATCTGAAGCAGCATGTACCAGCACAAGGTGTCCTTGAGCCAAGTGTGAAATCCGATTTGACCAGATAGGTTAGGTTGTGGTTTCCAGTGCCGCGCGGTTTACTGCTATGGCAACCGTCTCAGGCAAGTACATGTACCATCCCAAACAAACTCTTTCGGAACGAAACCGTTTTCTATCCAACAGAAATACATGTGTCATGTGAAAACCGCCACGACGATGTGTCCGTCATGCTGTTAAGTGCCGGTACATCGCTTCCCGTCCGTTTCCATGTGCACTATAGAGAAAAACTATTGGAAATCAATTGCTTTTTTTGTGTGGGATCATAGTCCAAAGCGGATTTACATTAGAAGGGTTTGGAGTATCTTTTGTCAGCACTACACGGTATTAAATACATGCCTGCTTTTATACAGACTTTTTTGTGGGAAGTGCAATAATGTACATGTACATTCAGTTGCTGCAAAATAACACGTAACTCATTTAGCCCAGTTAAAATTCCTCTAATTCCCCGAGCAGACGAAACATTGAACTCTGTTTTGTGTTATAGCCCAAACTTGTTCGCAGGGAAACGCACCGTATGTCGTGGGACCATATACAAGAATCTCATGAAGAAGTCGGAAGCTATTTGAAAAGTGTGACAATATTCTCTACGAAGAATGTAAAACGTGTACTGGAGCTATTACCCAAGAACGACTGCTTAATAAAGTGCTTAAGTTTCAAATCTGGGAGATGTTGAATAATAATATCATTATAATGTGACATTTAGTATCAGTCAAAAGAATTGTGTCTATCACGACAAGTCCGCAGTAATATTTGTGAAAGTTTCATCTGAAGGTGAATTAAATTAGTCAAAGAGGATCACAACTTATTTCTCATGTTTGCAGTGACATCTTTGTGCATGTATTTAATGATGGCATGCATTCCAGGTCTACTGGCGATGCATGGCAGACATGCACTGGTTCTTCAACACAAAGGATTTTATGTCTAAGCCCAACAGAGGGCAGGCTTGAGTGTTCACAATGGATTTACGCTAACAGTCAGGTTCCCTTCTGCAGTATGTTAAATAGAGCAGTAAAAGAAACGATGTGTGGAAATGATCGCTTGGGAACCTGTCTGTCTTTCGCGTGGTACCGCCATTTCGACCAAACGTCCACATTTGATTAGCACGTTTTCGTCATCAAAAGACGTCAAATTTTTACCAGTTTCCTCGGGCCGAACTGAGTCCATTCACAGTCAACATGACGGAGAAAATAGATATGAGCCTAGAAGACATCATTAAATTGAATAGGACCAACAAGAGAGGGGGAGGTAGAGGTCGCGGTGGACGTGGTCGCGGCGGTGGACAAACGCGTGGCGGTGGACGGGGGAGAGGCGGCATGTCCGGAGGTGGTGCCATCAGACGGCAAGGCAGGGGTGGTGGTGCCCGCCCCACTCCGTATTCACGGGTATAAACTGTTTATTATGAAGGTTTTGCTTTGAATTCAGGGTAAAATTCTTTAATGTTATACCTTTGCCATGTTTGTATTCAATTCTACTTTACCATGTTTACTTGGAGACATTCTCTCTTGTGGACTTTTGTGAGTTCCAGGACAGTTGCTGAGCAGTTATGCTAGTATTTAGCATCAACCATGTCAACAAAGTGTCAACAACTTGAAAATACCCTCTAAGGATTCAAAAGTAGTTTTATCTTAATTTAGAGACTGGAAGACCTGCCACTGTGTAAAAGAAACATCAAATTCGCTTCCAGATTCACTCAGTAAAATGAAACTTTTTTGCGATGTATGGAGACCGCCATCATTCACCTTTCTTTACTCTACTTTCCACACGAAAACAAGATGGCGGCTGGTCAGGCTGCACAAGCATGCCCGAATTTGCCTCTCAAATTTCTACCCTCAAATATCATTTTCAATATAATGATACATTGAATGTGATATGTAGGAGCCTTACTAATATTGTAAATATAAAATATTTGTATAAAAATGCTTGAATATTTAGTTGACGCTTGTTGACGCTAAATAGCATGACCCTTTGCTCAGTTCTAGTTTGCACGACTTAAGCCTAACACAGGGGTGTGAAATCTCCACATTTTGGCAGATTTTGTTTTTTTGTTGAGTGGCCGTATGCCAAATTTTATTTTCTGCATTTCTTTTTGCCATAGAAGGGCAAGATTTTCCTCATTTTTTCTTCCTTGTGCAGGTGCCCTTTTTTCCTTTTTTGCCGATGAGATGGCCAAGCCAATCTTTGCACTTCCTCTTTTTCCACACTGAACAGTACTGGAGCACCGTAATGCATGTTTTTTAATCTACTGTACATGCACAGTCACGTATGTGCGTGTGTATACAAATCTGTGCGGGCATTATTCGGCGCAGCTTGAAGTGCAAGCCTTGTGTTTAAACAGCATCCTGGGACCTTCTGGTCATTGTTGTTGTGATTGGATGTCATTGAAATATCAATATTTGTGCCAGTTGGACTCGTTACAGCCATTCCTGCATGAGCGGAAGTACATGCAGTGACTAACAATTTCCCCTATAACTCTCAGTAGCACACATTTCACTGTAAATTTGCCGCTTGAAATAAGGTTAGCAAATTAATATTCCCTTTCACCAATGGAGGCCTCCGTGACAACTGATGCTGGATAAAATTCTTGTGTCACGTATTATCGCACAGCTTTTACATGCTCTTTGTGAATTGTTTTGTACAAGTTTTCAAACAATATTTTGACATAAACTCGTAACTGCATAGCTGTCCGAAGAGGCTCTGACTTGGATACGATCTTTGACAAGACTTATCCAAAAGTTACAAAATCCATAGAAATGGATGTGGATGGTACACACAGGCAGGTGACACAATCTGTGCCCGGAAAATCCAAAAGCCTGGACATGCGATGTGCATTCTTTGTAACAAAGAGTTTAAATTGTGAAAGCCAACTCACTCTCCAAAATTGATATTTACAATTTTGGTTTACCTATTATTAGTTAATTTTAACCTTCAGGAATTTTACGCAATGCGAAGCAAAAAATTATATTAAACATATGTATTGCCTACATGCAAATTGCAAGACCAATGTAATTATATGACCAATGGCAATGGTTGCACCAGGAGACTATAAAATGCACCACTGAGCATCTACATTCCAAAATGTTCCCAGGGCCTGCTTGGCCCGGACCCCACGCCATATATGCTTCGCAATTGCAATTTTTTTTTTTTTTCATAGAATTTTCACTTTGAGAGCAACCGTAGAGTACCTGTACATGTCGCCCTTGAAAACAGTGTAATGGTCATTTCAGACCATGACTGAGACCAAGTGTTTTTGAAAAATCTGAGATTTTTACTCACCTATCTCTCGTTTCCACCCAGTGAGATTGCACTGCTCATCTTTATCACATTGCATGTGCGTTGGGCCAAGGGTTGAGTGCCGCTTGCTCCGCATGTCGGTTCGACCATTATTGGAGAAGGGGGGAAGGGAAGTGGCATCTCGTTTTCATCTCATCGCACGACCGTCCTTGCTGTGTGACATGCGTTGCACTGTGTAGCTGTGACAGGTTGCAACATTTTAGAAATCCCCTCTCGCCTCTGAAAATAGTCAAACTGACAAGCGTAGCAAGTTACACTTGGCCGTTGGCCCAACGCATGTGCAGTGCACATATGCATTCACAACAATAGTTAAGGGTATTTGAATAGCTTTTTGCTGGTTTGAATGTTCAATTCAAAACAGATGTACTTATACACAGAGAAATCATTCATTATTTTACCCAACCTCTATGATCTTGTTATTTGTACACTAGCCAAAACAGGTACCTGACCAGTGGCAGCATGACATGTATGAAGGTGGAACTGGAACAGGAAGGATGCAGTATAGAACAGGTGGTTCCGTCGGTGGTCAGAATCAGCAAGGAAAGCTGATGGTGTCCAATCTAGACTATGGAGTCTCTGACGCAGACATCCAGGTAATTTAATGGTGTTATTGAGGTCAGTTTCTTTGCACTACTTCCCAAATGTCCACAAGCTGTTTGTAATGAAATGCTCAGAATTAAGCCGCGTTTGCACTCGACTAAGAATTGTAAAAAAGTTACCGTGACTGCCTATGAACATTCCATCGTGATTTTTCATCCGTGCGTCTGCACCCGCGGAAAGTCCATGAGCATTCAGCAGTATGTGCTTTCAGAATCTCACGAGGGCACCCTCCGATTGACCTCATAATTTGACACCTGATGTGGTCTCAGGAAAGCGTGTGATTCTTTTAACTTTAAACGTACTTTAAGTAGCGAGGTTAGAACTAAATGTGTACATTTTGTTTACCCAAACCTATTGGAGTGAAACACAAGCAGTTCATAACGGTAACAAAAAAAATCGACAAGAATTTACAGGGCGATATGTCAGTCATTACGTATGATTTCAAATACTTTTTTCAGGTTCACCCATAATTGTTCATGTTCGGCTTAAAAAAACCTCTTTCGGACCAGACCTACTGTGATCAAAAGTCCTTTGATGCCGCGACATCGCAAGACCTATTGTTGTCTAGAGTAAAGCCCCTTCTAGCGGCATAAGGAACAGAGTCGCCAAATCATCGTAGGCAAAACTGCAGCACAAATTGCTGAGCGGATTAGCATTTTTGGAGAACTACTGACGCGCTCCATCAGGAATTACTTACTGGGATTACTGGGATGAAGCTTTTGAAGACACTTTTCAATTGTACTCGTATAAAAAATGCCATGGACAATGGTTTTTGACACTGCTGGTTAGGGAAAAGTGCTCATCTTGTCTCGTCTTAGCATAGCTTGTATTAAGTAAGTTTTCTCTCATAGGAATGTGTACATTTTGAAAGGGACTGAAGAAATATGCTCGTCTTAAGCGCGATCTCATCTCAAGCGTTCTTGTGTTAATCGTGTTTGACTGTAGACTAAAGTTCCATTTTTTTAATTCTTTGAAATTCTTATTTATGAAACAATTTTCTCAAAATTAAGAAATTCTTCAGTTGTAAATCAGCTTGTTATGATGGTTGCGGATGAAACAGGGATTTCTTGCATAATTACTTTTATTCGTGAAGAAGTGGTCGCGTTTCAGAAGTTATGCCGATCCAGAACTAGGAAAAGAGTCGTCATCACTTTTGTCGATCCTGTCAGTCCAAGAACAGATTTTGAAACTAATTTTCTCGAATACACAAGGCGAACTACATGTACAGACCACATTCACCGGAATTTGAGGATTTTTTTGTAGATGCAATCTGACTGAAAAATTTTGCATACGGGAATTAGGAGAACAGCTGTATAACTAACCAATAAACGGCCGGAGTATAAGGCTCGGAGCTTTTGGCATACTCTGCAGCTCTGCGACGTTGATATAGTGTCTCTGCACCACCGTGTAGCTGTACGGATGGATGTTTTCGCGGAAAAACAGCAGAGGTCATGACCTATGGACTTGCGAACGGATTTCAATTCATGTGATCAAAATTTAAGTTTTACATTACTCTGGGCCATCCGCACGGGGGTTTCCTGCAATGCAAAATTGACTGTAATTCGTCCGCGACCCCATTGGCCCTGTGAAACTTCTGCAGCAGGAAGGTAGAACTTACAACTGATGATCAGCATTTGACAATTTGGGTAGTTTACTGGCTTTCCACATTGGATTGAATTTTGTCAGATTGACAACAGTCTTAAGTTTTACCCCCAAAATTCCAATGCGAACACGGCTTGATTTGAGATCCTTATTGAAATCATATTCACCTTCCCACGTTTTGGGAAAACACATGAAAAATTTTCTTTGGTTTGTAAGATTAGTATGTTTGAACAAGAAGAGTTGTCAAGTTTGATCTTATCTTGATAGTGCAAATGGAAATTTTCCCAGAAATTTGTTCAAGAGTGATTAAAGATTCTGATTCAGTTTGCCGTCATTTAAGGATGAATTTGCAACAGAGGAATTTTCGTTGTGATTACAGAGACCTACTTCTTGCACAAGGATGTGAACCTGCTGTTGTTCATTGGCTAAATTTAGAATTTGTTAACCTAATTCAGAAATTCACCAGAGGCTTCCGTGCTGTATTAAGCCTTGCATCACCCAACCGTCAGTTACATCCTTCCCTCTACGCTAATTTTTTTTTCTTATTTGTTGGCCTTTTCTTGACAGAAAGAGTCAAAGGTTGAAGGCTTTTGAAGGAGTGTTGCACAGTTTTAAATCAGTAGGAACTCTCAATGTATTTTTTGCCCAGACTATGTGCTAAACCTAGCGACACATCAAAAGCTTAGTTTTCTCTTTCTAATGCCAACTGCAGCATTTCTGAAAAGAGTTACCTCCTGGGGTCCAGTCACATATGCTGTTGTTCCAAAAGGAATTAACTTTATGTAGTTTTGTCTTCATCTTATAAATGCAGGAACTGTTTGGAGACTTCGGTGTCTTACTGCACGCGGCTGTCCACTATGACCAGTCAGGCAGGAGTCAGGGCACAGCTGATGTGGTCTTTCAGAGGAAAGCAGATGCCATCAAAGCTATGAAACAGTATAATAACGTACCCTTAGATGGTAAGAAAAAAAGGGAAACTGTTGCCCCTTTCAAGCCATTTAGGTATCTCAAGAGTGATTTCTGAAATTGAACTATAGGTAGGGCATACTTTCCCATTGCCACTTCAACTAAGCCACTTTGCACCAGAGGACATGTAAAAGCAATCCTGCTATCTGTACACACGGACATGGCTGGCAGGTCGAAACGTCAGGCGTACTTCGGCTCAACTTCTGGTGACATTTAAACATGCTAATCCCCATTTGTTTTGAACACACAAAAACCCAGAAGTCTGTGGAGGGAGACTGTGTTCATGTTGAACTTTGCTGTCATGCACAGGCTATTGCGGTAGTAAATATCACTCTCTGAGCATGTCGGTGAATGTTATAAAATATGAGGTTTGAATTATTGTACAAATACAGTTCAGATGAAACGGGCAAATCAGTGTTTGTGTTGTGTCACTGTAGATCAAAACTCAGCCACTGTGTCTTGCTTTTTTTTGAAAGTTGACATTTTTGGCCCCAAAAAATTAGGCCTGCAAGGTCATGTAAAAACATCTTAAAATTGAATGATTGCCGACTGTCAAGGTTTATAGTAAAAGAGCGGGTCATAGTTGGGTTTAGTTTAGGCAGGTTTGGAAATTTTGGTGGTAAAGATTTCTATAGATTGAGGTAAGGCTGAATAGTCGAAGTTGAGGCCCGAAGGTGGTTTGGCTCAGAACCGACGATGAGAACAAAGTGTCGCTTCAAATTGTTCCTGTTTGCCACCCCCCCTGCAGGTAGTCCCATGAACATCCAGCTGGTTACTTCGCCACTTGAGTACGAGCAACAGTTAAGACAACCTACCCAGAGAGCAGGGAACCAGGGAAGGATACAGCGAGGCAGAGGGGCAGGAGGGTATGTTGGACATTAAGGCACAAAATGTTTCAGTGATGTTAGTTTAATGGCTAGCCGAGAACTACATCTTGCATTCACAGTGCAATGCAGTGACAATTACTTTTGTCATTTTCAATCCAGGCGCAACCAGTACAACAACAGGGGTGGGCGTAACCAAGGGCGTGGTGGCCTCAGGGGGCGCGGAGGTCGAGGGCGTGGCCGAGGTGGCAGCAAGGGACCGACACCCACTGCGGAGGAGTTGGATGCACAGTTAGATGCTTACAATGCTGAGGTGAGCGTTTAGAGTTAAATAAACAATGAACAGGATGGATCGTCATAATTTCAGCTTCGGAAGGGATGGAACGTGCAGTGAATCCGTGTGACCAATTGGCCCAAATACACCAGGTCTCAGGAAATATTTGCTGAGAACAATTTTGTGCTAAAGCAGAAGTTAAACAGAAAGCCAGTCAGAAGCAAAATACATCTCGCAATTTCTCTGCCGATAAACTGTGTTTACACACATAGCCCATTTTCCATGCAGAATGCAGTTGGTTCCTACAATGTACACAGTGCAGGCCTGTTTCATGATTGTATACTGTAACCTGTGCCTTTCCTTTGCCCTTTTTTATTTCCAGATGGATAGTTAAAGTACATCCTTGAAGTAAGAAATTTTGGAAGTTTCGTTGAGGGGAGATTTTCTACTGTGACCTCAAGCTCTGCAGCAGTACTGCAATATGACATGGACGTATTTTGTAATTAGATGGAATTTGGTGAAATCATGGGCACTTGCAAGGGCTGCTGCACTGCCGACTGTTAATGACCTGTAACGAAACTCATGCTTGTCTGAACAGGCAACCGCATTTAATAGTAAGCAGGAAAAATGCCAAACCAAGATATTTACTAAGCATTTTAAAGTTTTTCATCAGTTGTCTTTATATGTGTTTCATAGTAGTTTTGAATAGTAGTTGCTGTCAGTTTTGCTTACCAAATATATTGGTTTAGTATTTTTTTTCCTACTTTTGAATTTCTGTGATATTGGCAATGTCAGGCATGAGTTGAATGGAGTGGAAATTGCAAGGACATGAGGTTCTTGTGGTCTGTAAAACATTTTAGACAGTCATTTATTGTTTCCGGTAAACATCCAGTCAGTTTTTGCCTGTGTGATCATCTTCAACTTGCTTATTTCTGAGACACTAGTTTACAGTGAAGATTGAATCAAAATTAGAACCTAAAATCTGTTGCCTGCATTGATTTGTAAACTCCTTCTGTATTTTCAATTTCAGTAAATTGTTTGTCATTCCAGTAAACAGCACGGACAACCCAAGTTTACCAAATCCTACCTTCACCTATTTTATTCAAAACTAAAACCCAACTTCGATGGTGTAGTAGTCCACCTGACTGATATGTTTCTGTCAAACTATGATCTATTTAGTGTGTATTGATTGTGATATGAAAAATTCACAAGAATTTTCTTACTGTCATGATCACTAGTCGCTTTCATTGCATCCCCCCATGACTTTTTAAATTTGAGATTGTGTTTTAAAATGAATGAAAATTTGGTTAATTGGAGTCAGGAGAAGGATGGTTTAATCATCTGTGCTGAAAGAAGACCATTAGAGATTCACTTCCCTCGCTTAATGCAGTTGCCATGTTTGTATCGGAAGTCGGTGTGTGTAAATAGTTTGTCTTTTTATTACTTGGAAACAACAGTTTTGCAGGCTTTAAAAATGGAAGCTTTGATTAGTCTCCAACCATTGTAAAAAAAAAATCTGTGTTTTTTTTCATTCTGTGTCACATTCAAGAATGGAAGGCAATTTTCAGAAACAAGTTCTTTGTATTGTTGAGGACCTACTTTGCGTAACTTAAGTTCCTAGTGGCATCAGTGTCTTTTAAGGGAAGGGAATTCTACTGTATGAACTTAAACCTATACCGTTGAATTTTTCTTTTATGTGGATAAAATTCAGTGCAAAATTATACGGAAAATAGCTTTTCAGTACGCCTATGAAATTATAAAATGTTCAGTTGTGATATTAATTTTGGGTACAAGACCAAATTACCAGATTACTTAGCTCCATTTTTATTGAATGGTAACCATCTTAAATTGTCTACTTGGTATAATGGATTTGGGATGGTTTCCATTTGCTCTGACTAATTACAATTTCCCGCTCAACAGTCATAACATTGGCCTTGGTACTTGATACAGTAATAGAAATATCCCCTTTTGTGACATATTTTTAACTTTTCTTGTTTTTTAGTGCCGGTGGTGTAAGTTTTTAAAACCTGTTTCCAACCTTTTATTACATTTTGTTTTCAATATCGGTGAGACATTAACAAGGAGACATCAGTAATAAAGGGTCCTGATACAGGATGAGGGGGAAAACGTGCTTTACAAGTGCTTTTCGTAACTTATTTTTTTGTGTCGTATGTTATTAAGAGATTAACTAATGCGAAAACAAAACCCAGTTCCTCAAAATTTAATCCGCAGATTGCATGCAAAGAGTAAAAATAGACTCGATACAAGGCACTTTGCGTTCTTGTTTTCTCAATACAATTGACCTGGCCAGACTAAACCTTCCCTAAATGTGGCGATGAAGTAATGGCCGACTGAAAGAATGTTTAATCAATACAAATAGCTGGTATCCGGCTCATACAACCAGTCAGTATCTGTTACAAAAGATTACCAGCCAGTTGAAAACACGGAAACAACAGGACGTGGTCAAAGTGCTCGCTGCCGTTCTAAACGTTCTTGAACCAGGTTAGCTGAACGCAGTAGAGGCGTGGTCTTGTGCCCAATTTTCCTCGTATTTTAACCAAGATAACTTTTAAGTTTTCTACATCCGACTTCTCAAACTGGTGAGTACAAACTAAACAGACGTAACAGTCATGGCAGTTCAGACCCCAGAACGTGAATGAAAACAAATGTCGTGATTGTGGCCTGCATGTCTACCGTACTTTGTGTCCTTCCTCCATGACTGTACTGGGTGGAGCCATGGAGCGTTCGTTAAAAAAGGAATACTGACATTCCACTCAGCAGAGCTAGCATGTAAGGAAACAAATGTAGGCTGTAGGCCTAATTAGGTTTGGCTGGTTTCTAAGTTCTCACTAGGCCTACTCCGTGTGACTCACAGATGCTTGTTCACGTGGAATTCTGTGTTTTTTAATCCAGTTTTTGCAGTGGTGATCTGGTAACGCAAACTCCACTTTTTAAATCAAACTTTCCCATGCCATGTGAGAGGACCTGTGACCCATGAGGTATCGTGGAGTACCCTAAATTTGTGCATGCAAATATTTACGCATCCAACTTTCTCGTCGTGAAACTCTTGAACAAAATTATTCACTGACGTTCATTTACTGTTGATGATCAATTATCAGTTCTGTGTTATTCTTTTTGTAGCTATGAGCGAATTAAAAGCTTTTCCAGTGAGAATGCGGAAAAAATGTCAGCAGAGCTTAAAGTTTTACCGTACAGACTAAAAACAAAAATGAATTAAATTGTCCAGAAATGGATAAATGATTGCTGTTCCCTCATGATCGGTGTTGGACGTCCAATACGAACACTAAATGAGGACTTCAATTGACTTTCGCCTCGTAAAAAAATACAGAGCCTGATAAACACCTTATATTTTGAGATATTCCTTATTGGCGATGGTTGCAGATCCGGGAGGCACTGTTTTTTGTGACTCTTCAGAAATACATCTAGAAAGAGAAATTTTGTTCATAATACCTATATAAATTACTCAAATTAATGCTAATTATGATTTATTTGAAAAAATAAAAATTCACGCCTCACTTTAACTTGAAATAAAAATTTAAGAACTAGGAGAAAGAGGAAGTGGTGGGAAGTCAATATGGCAACTGATACTGTTTTCTTTCTTAAACTGCATCACTAAACCATACATGCAAAAAATTATTTCTCATTTGAAAGACCCCCATCTGGCAGATTGTTCAGAGGTAGGGAATTACCAGTACCCCATGAAATGATTTCTGCAAGTTAAATGTGAAGATTATGGTAACGTACCCAGTAAGTTTCACTACAGCCAATCCGACTCGTTTGCAGGTGACGGTGTCCTGTCACTTTGATGACATCCGGTGTTCTTCAAAATATTCATATGGATTTAAGTCAAACTTTCAACTAGTGAAAGTGAAGCCATAAAAAATGTTTATCTACAAGATGAACAAATTTTGGTCAAAGTACATGTACTAAAAACATGTGCAACTTATAGTGGATACCTCTAGCTCTTGAAAATGGTGTAACGGAGGTGTCAGACCATGAGACCAAGTTCTTTTTTGAAAACGTAGCGGCTATAGTCACAGTAACCGTGACATGACTTTCAATTTGTATATTGCCACAGTAATGTTTCTGTACAAGCTCGATGACTTACTCATTGATAGACAATCGATTGAGCTGACACAACTGACTGACGGGCTGCCATAAATGCATGTACTGCATGCAACAGCTAGTTATGGCGTTTTAACAATGCAAGCGCAATGAGTTGTTTGATACGCGTGAACTGACAAAAATTTTGATTTATTGAGCTGCTGTATCAGTGTTGTACATACATGCAACGTGGCGTGTGTGGTCAACTGTGATTTGGACCACGAATTAAAACCGAAAATGGTATAGCAACATGCGGAGTTGAATGGGGAAAGTTGGTCAGGACTTCAGACATGCTCACAGAAAGGCACGACTCAAAATTTGCAATGTGCGAATGGCCAGTGTTTGAATGGCCAGTGTTTGAATGGCCGAAAAGGGACTTTATTTGGGGAAATGGGAGCTTGGCCATGAAATGGAAGTCAAAATGTCCCCACTGAAAATGTTTAATATTTGCACACACAAAATAATTAATGCCAAAAAGGCTGCCATTTCTATACATTTCAAGCTCTAAATAATTAAGCATCACAATTCATCACCTAAAACAAACAGAAAATTCCCTTTTCTACATCTCAAAAATGCCATTGATTACTTGACCCATCTTCCTTGTACATGTTAATGTTTCCTGTTTCCTTGCTGTATGGTGGAAGGAAACTGTGTGTTTGTGCCTGACCAGGTAAACTTGTGTAATTTTAGTTTGGCAAGCTCTCTGGCAGTGTGCACCGAGCATCGTTAGAATTAAATAACCATGAGGATTAGAGGAAAAAGCCCTCAATTAAGCCAATCCATTGTATGGCTACCTCTTGAAGACAAAAACAGATGGCCGATACCCTGTACTTTGTCGATGATCGAAATATCTTCCCCATATTTCCAAAATCTTGAACTCATTTAAAAAAAAGGCCTGTTCCTTCCTTTAATTCTCAATATTCCTCTTTCAAAATGACAATCTTCGGGTAGTTAATAGTCCAAACCAGTGAAATCCTCTCTGAGGGACAAGTTGGTCAGGAGGCAAGTTGGCCAAGGGATGAGTCGGCAAGGGCTCACCCAGGGGGCAAGTCGCCCCCTCGCCGACTTGCCTCTTGCTGGCCAGGAGGTGAGTTGACAAGGGGGCCAGTTGGAAATGGGTGAGTCTGCCAGGGGGCCAGTTGACCTGCCACTTCTGTCTAAAATTTCAGAAAAATAATGGTTTTGAACCATGTTACCGAAAAATCAGAGCTTTTACACACCACCTCCTCGTGACACACTCAATAACCACACCATACACCTGTACTTCTTGTATATTTTGAATATGCAGAAGAGCTTTTTTCATGAAATGCACATTGAATGTGGAAAAAGATGTGCACACGTATGTTGAGGTTGGCGCCGTCATGTGTTTGATACATGTTTAGTGTGTGAGCTCAAGAAAGCTCTTTCAGGGATAATTTTGCCATTCACAGGTGTCTCTCAATGCAAATCAAGGCCTTCAGTTTATGTACATGAAACTACAATCCCAAGAGACATCATTCCCAAATTTAATGCTTGTGTGTTTCCTCAATACCATTCAGGTAGAGTACATTGTATACTTATTGAAGAGGCAACACAAAGGGTATCCCTTCTCTTTACCACTGACAACCAGGAAGTAAATGGATAGTATAGTACCACTGCAGCAGAATATTACATCTTTGACCTTTGACATTCCAAGCATTTTCTTTATCGTCAAAGCACAACAGTGGAAAACTGATCTGGTGACTTTAAGTCAACATTCAAGGCTCTGAAGTTCTAGGAGGAAAAATATTTGTCAGTTCGAAAGCTACATATATTTGAAAATATTTTAAAAATATTAATATATTTCATGTGATGTTAAATATTTTGCCTTTTCATACATTTGCGGCTTAAATCCCCTGCCATCTGACTGGTGGATAGTTGATCATGTCATTGAATTATTTATTCTATTCGACCGTACCCCATTGAATAGAACTTTTTTTCACTTGACAGTTTGCTGCCCCCATTTCTACCCTCCAAAAATTCGGGAACATGACGAGTCAACAAGTTTGTTGTACATTACACATGTTTTATTGATAATCTGGTGAAATGCTTCACAATCTCGGCAGTAAAATACATTCTCATGATCTACATGTACAGGTAATACCTGTTACTTTGTAAATGCCATGATTATTAGCCCTTTTGGGCCTGTTAACAAAAGTAAATATTATTTTGATGATTTGTGCCATACTTTTTTTTCAACAACTACTGCATGTTTGTTACTACTCTAGACCTGCTGTTCCTCAAAAAAGCCTCCCTTTGCAACTGGGACCTCACAGCAGACTCTTGGCATGCCATCCGTCAATTTTTCCAGATAATCCGGTGAAATATCTTGCCATGCCCGCTGATGAAGTACATGTACATGTAGCTCTCACAGATGTGTTTGACTCGTTGGGCATTTCTCCCTTACTTTATGGTCCAGTTCTTCCCACAGCAACTCTATAGGGTTTAAATCTGGCAGCTGGGCAGGCCAGTCCATGACAATCAACACTCCTTGTGACCCTTTCTTCTCCAAATATGACTTTACACCGCGTGGGCATCCATGTATGCTTTAGGTCATTGTCTTGTTGCATGACAAAGTTGGCACCAATCAGACGCTGTCCTGAGGGAATGGCTTGATGTTGGAGAATACTGTGATATCCATGCCAGTTGAGAATTCCTTCCACTTGATACAAACTGCCAACTTTGCCTGCCCCAGTACAACCCCACACCATTTAGGCACCGTCGATATCGTATTTTGGCTGATACTGATATATTGGATTTTCCATATCGATATATCAAATTTTATTCATGTTAATTTTCAAGGTATAGCAGGCGTGGTGAATTGCTGGTAAATTGTTCTAAGGGTACACTCCTACACCGTAATGGTGTGATCCAATTCACTTTGGCGACATGTTCTTGCATCCGTATTGCGTACGTTGCCTACATGGGATGGGATACACGCTGCCATGCCGTGCATAGCAATATCATCAGCACATGGTTCTAGTCTACGGACGTTTAAATAGCAAGTAATCCTGTTTTGGAGGATAAATCTGTGATATTTTCAAGGCAAAGTGTACGTGAATTATTTAGTGCAAGACTGAGATAGGTGACTGAATTTAGCCACCCAGAGCTACGGGGACATTTTTCACTCGGAGAGAACCAATGTAAGCCATAGCTTATCGAAAATTACAGTAATGTGATGATGCATTTTTGTATTTTTTAATAAAGTTCGTTCCTCAGTAGCGATATTTTCGATATATTTTTCACTATCAATGTTTTCGAAGTTTAATTATTTTCGATATTTCTTCCGAAATCGTATATTTTTGATATATTGATATTACCAAATAACTAACATTGGCGATATCGATATCAAACCCATATTGATAATATCGATATATCGATGTATTAACGGCGCTTTGAACACCATTACACTTCTCCCCCTTTGACTGTAGGTTTTGCATTGTGATTTCAACCTTTCCCCAGGTCTTTGTCAAACGTAGACCCGTCTCTTACAGCCAAATACTTCAAATTTTAATTCGTCTGACTGCAGTACCTTCCTCCATTGCTCTGTGGTCCAGTTTAGCCCAAGCATACCTTTTCACCTTGTTTTTCTCTTGAGGAGTGGCTTCTTCCTAGATACTCACCCCATCAACCCTGTAGCTTTGAGGTGATGCCGCACTGTGGATGAAGAAACAGCTGTCTCTCCAGCTTGCTTACATGTGCTGTTCAGTTCTGAAGTAATTTCTGGACGTGTCAAACATTGTCAAATATCTGTATCGCTGGCCGCAAACTCTAATGTGCTTATAAATCTTCTGCTTCAGAGGCAATCTTTGGCCTGCCGCATCTTTTCCAGTCTCAAGCTTTCCTTGCACGGCAGGTGTGGAGTCCATGAAGAGAGATACTCAGTTTGTTTGCTATTTTGCGAATGCTATAGCCTTCAGATCGTAAAACCACTAGAGACTGGTGTGTTTCTTAGGAAATCTCCCCGGATTTAGCCGTTACTGTAAGCTTCAGATTGTCCAGATCAATATAAGGGCAGAGGACCATGTTTTAGGCATTTTAAACCTCTGATTATGTAACAGCACTGTGCCCCAATATCATTGTAACAACATTCAGTTATGCTACTAACACTGGCCACGCCCCAATCCCTGTTGTTATCCCGAGGTCACCTCCCAATAAAGAAATGTGAATACTGCACTTTCCAGGTGTGGAACACCGAATTCTGAAAAATAAACCAACTTTGGGGAATACCCTTACCATAAAATAATCAAACTAAGCTAGAAACAACTGTTACATCATTAGAATCTACTTCACTGCTGAAAACCTCCGACAACTAACACAAATATTTCATTAATATCATGCAGTACTCAAAACTATCTGTTTACTCATCATGTTCCCAAACATTTGGAGGGTAGTGTATATCTCATTCCCTGTAAGAAAGAGGAAAATAAACTGGAAACCAGTCTAATTATGTTGAACTACAAGTGGATGGCACTTCAGACATGAACCTGTTAAGCAAACTGACAGGTGTTGACATTAGAGAGGGAGCTGTTTGTTCTCCCAGCAGAATGCAGGTATTATATAAAAGAAATAATGAATGTTTCACATTTGTGCATTGGTAAGAATTATGTCATGAGGTGACAGACGAAATGATCCGTTCCGCTCAGCTTCACCTCATTCAATCAAACATTTCATTTGTCACCTCATGAAATTATTCTTACCATTACACTCATAAACATTCATTTATTTGTGTAATATGGAAACGACGGGGTCCAGACAGGAATACTATCTCCCTACAGTTTATGTGCAGTTTATGAAAGAATTCCTCTCAAATTTCATCAAGCTTGCCTTCTTGTATACTGACTCTGAGATTCCATGGTGTCCAGTCAGCATTCACGTGTATCGACCGGGGGAGGGGCAGTTGCACCCCACCTTTTGTTGTTTTCCCTCCCCTCACGTTTTTGTTGCCAAATGCAAGTTTAAGGCTTGTATTTAATTCTACCGCTCATAATATGGGCAGTAAAATGTTTCTGGTTCATCACAAATCCTAACTGCTGCATGTAGGCCACATGCGTTGTTACAAGTTCAACAGAATTATCTACTTCAGAGGCTGACTTCCATTGTGCCACTTCAAAAGGGAAGTCTCTGTCCTAGTAATAACTGGATCAACCCTTTCTCTTTTGCGTTCTCCCCCACTCTCAGAGTGCAGTAAGAATGGCAGATGAACCCGAAGCTGCACCTGCTGGGGTCGAAGAGGTCGATGACAGCGAGGAGTTGACTCCTGGCTACAAGGCACCGGAGAAGAAGTCCGTGGCGGAGATCCAAGAGCTGGACGCTGATGATGAAAGCCTGGTCAGATACAAGAAAGCATTACTGGCTGGTGCGGAAAAAGTTGAAGGTAGGTCAATATGTGTACACTGGCACATCTGAGCTCAAAACGGTAAAGCTGTTGGTCTAGTACTAAACATTGAGGGGCCTTTTAAATGTTTGCTTCAGTCACTCAGTGAGTGTAGAAAAAAGTGTTTTGTCTAATAATTATTATTGTATAGCAAATTTAAAATACAAATAATGTGTTAAATGCTTCATTTGTCTATTCCTATAAGCTTGTACTGATTTAATGTTCACTCTTCCAACTTGATGCAAAATGACTTAAATTCATGAGAGAAGTAACCAGGTGGATATTGTACAGGATTATCACTAAGATTAACAAAGTAAAGCAACACACATTTTAAATTCACCTGTGTTTTAAAATTGCTTTTGCAAAAAAGCAAGGAAATGTAAGTTTAAGGAGCATGATGCAGTAAAAAGTAAATTTTAATGAAAAAGAAACTGACAAGTTTTACTGATAAAATGTGATAAAGTATTTCCTAATCAGCTAAGGGTAATTAGTCACCTTTTGGCACTTCCCACAAGCCTACATGTAGCTCCGTAGTATGGATAATGTATACACGTATTTACATGTATAGCGTACAAATCACAAAGACATTTTTAAAAATGCCCCTTCGTGTCCATCTTGAAAGCATTCCTGAATTACCCCTGATGGCCAGCCATGCTTATCTGTGCCAAGGAGTTTGTAATTCCAATGTTGCTGAGGTGGTGGTGGGGGGAGGGTGGGAGGTGGACAAGAGTTCCCAGGGAGGGGGGAGATTCCCTAGCACCTGTCCCCCTTTGGCTTCACCACTATGCATCTTCATCAAGTCACATTCAAGGGATGGGGAAGGGTGAAATTAGAGAAAGTGCTCAGATAGGCAGATGATACAGGTGTGCAGACTTTTATTCATTCCAAGGACAAATGAGATCGTAGTAATATTCAGTGTCAGAGCCTAATTTCACCCTGTTCAGTTGGCACTGGTTCTAAATGGACTTGCTGCTGTGTCAGGCCCCGAAGTATGTTCACATGTTCTATTAAAGAAGATTCTTTTCTACATGTTTCCGTAGATGAAGGCGGGCCAAATGTACTGGTGAAGGCTCTTGTCTTTGCTCCTGTTGGCCATGAACGTATTTGTCTTGATTTGACTGGTAAGTCAACTTCTTCTAAATTGTAATTTACCCTAACCTCGTCCATTATCTTTTTGACTGGAGGCACCTTGCATTAATGGCCAAATGACAATGAGATGTACATGTGCACGTAAAACACAAGTCTTGTCACAGAACATTTATCATGTCACCAGTGTTGACAGCCACATGGAAATCTAACAATGCACAGCAGCTCTTGACCATGAGGCTTTGCCAGTAGGGTAGAACGTGTGAGCACCTGTTGTAAGGAACTGTTCAAAACATAAACATTGAAATACAGCTTTAAAAAAGGACTTAAAAGGGTTTACTTAGATCATGGTCCAATTTCACAAAGCTGCTTAACCACTTCCTGCTGGGTGGAATTTGCATAGGCAAGACGAGTTCGCTGGCAATTTTCAAGATTTCCATTTTCAAAATTCTTCAAAAATTGATACATGTGTATCTTCATTTACTGGACGCCTACTGCCACACAGATGACTGTCTGGTGGCTACTCTAATCTGACAGGCAACCTCCATTGACGCCTGAGTATCGCAGCCAGGCATGCTGCCCAGTAAAAGAGAGCCCACATTGTGCAGGGTTGCATAATTTCCTTTGTTCTCGAAATTGACCCAGTGCACTGCTGAATGGCAGTGGTTTCTTTACAACTGCGGCCAGATCAGCACGTAGCAGTATTGTATCACTCATTGCTGGAGTGTTTTTGTCCCCGCTGGTAATCTGCGGGCACTGAATGCCGCAAACAATGGTATACTGTTTCAAAACGGACTTGCACTCTGTGCTGACAGCATATGAAAATTGATTGGCATTTCCCAGCAGCTCGTTCATTTGCTCTGATTATGGTCTTTTGTTACAAGGCCCAGCTCTTTTGTCCGATTTCGGGCACCCCGGTTAGGTGTACAAAGCCAAGCTCTCTGGTACCGGGAACCCCGGCACTGAGTAGTTAACAGTCAGCAGAAGAGTCGTGCTAACTTAAGCAGAAAAATTTGCTAACCCCAAGCACTATTTCATGGCGGTGCTTGGCATGGCTATGCTAACGGTTGCGCATGCACAGATATTTCTATAGTTACGTCACTAAGTTTAAGCAAATTTCTCCTCCAAGGTTAGTATGCCATTGGCTGTGCTTACTGTTTTATGGTCTCCATGAAATACGTGGAGCCTCTGTAAGCATAAAATCATGTGCTAAGCAGCACTGTGAAATAGGCCATGATATTGTACTCCTGTTTGGCAACCATATCTCAAAAAGGCTAGTATAAAATCTGCCATGCCCAGAATGCCTTATTGGGGCGCTACTGTCTCAGCAACCCAGTGCTTTTTTGTGGCAATAACCTGATTGTTGACATCTCTGTTGTGAGATGGAGGTTTGAACATTATCCTAGTTCAGTTCATGTTCATATTCATATTCATGAGACAATGATGCATCAGTTTAAGGGTGATTGTAAAATAACAGTGCACAAGAAAATGAAGAAATGTTCTATTTTAGAGGGGGGGAGGAAATCCCGGACAAATAACCCAAGGAAACCCACAGAATCAGGTAAAACTGATCAACTGAAAACCCAATCCATATGCTGACCCACAGTAGAAGAAATTTGAACCTCGGGTTACAGAGGTGGAAGGTGAGGGAAAAGTGCTTAGCCAAAATGACCCTAAAGTTTTTACCTTTATGCTCAGAATGCACGAAGTCAGTAAATCGATTCAGTAAGCCCTGCCCACTGCACACTTGGGCACTTAATGTGTGCCCTTCTCCAAAGCCACACTACAAGTTCCACCCGCATGCATCATTCAAACGTGCACGTATGTTGGACTTTCGTGCACAGCCATGATTAGTCAGAAAACAATGGGGTGGGGCTTAAGAGATCGGTCTATTGGCAATTTTCCTGTGTGTGAAAAATCTTCCGTTCCCCCTTGACGGTCCTTATCTTGAAAGGGATTCAAAAGCAAAATACTTGTGATGCACTTTTTCTTAAATACACATTTTTTAGTTAAAAAAGGAGATGCACCATAGCTGAAAAGCTACGGCTGCATCCCAAACCCTTGTCTAGAGCTAGGTCTAGGTCTTCGCTCCATTGGAAATGCGTGGAGACGCGCAGACAATAGACCCAGCCGTAGCTCTGGAAGCGCGTTTCGGACACGGCCTAAATTGTTAGCGACCCATGTCTGTTTTCAACTGTGATAACTCATATTTCTAGGTTTAGCCATATTTATTGATACGTTTGTATCTTTTTGGTTCGTTCAAAGGTGATACTTCGAAGTTGAAGGACAGCCCATTTGTGATCAAAGAAGGAACCCCTTACAGGATTTTTATAAAATTCAGGGTGAGTCGTTACCACTTGCTATGAAGCTGTCACGTCTGACTGGCTCCATGTAAAGACTGGATCCTGCCTTAGTGCTCCAAATCCTCCATTTCTCCCTTGAATGTGTTCCTTCCTTAATTAATTTCCTTTGGCAGTTTCTGTCAATAATGTTGAGGCAGTGTTTATGATATTATCGAGCAGCATGAATGATTTTTCAGTATAGTGTAAGTCAATAACCAAAATAAGAAGCCGTTACTGCGGTGGCAATGCTCGTGGACAGGTAGTACATGTACGCATGCATTACATGCCTCTTCGACCAATAGGGTGTCGTGATTAGCCAAAGGGAGGTATGCGTCCTGCTGAAGTTATCGCGTCAAATTGGATTAGTCCTTAATTTAAGCCTAAATTCACGCATGGCTCAGCACAAACAATGCAGTGTCCTGAAGGACTGCATCACACATACAAAGAAGAGTGTGGCATCAATACAGACGTGTACATAATGTGAATGATGTAATTGTATGATTTGGAATTAGCTTACATATTCGTAACTAGTTGGTGGGCTGAGTCACACTGGAATCGCTCAACAATTATGATGCCTATCTTCATCGTTTTCTCCTTTTCATTCATACTTGACAGCCTTTGTTTCAACAATATGATAGCCCAATAGCTTTGCTTGCCTGAGTTTAGACATGTTTATTTTTTTGCACATCAATTATGTCTACGACAATTTATTCGTAACACATGTACTGATGTTACTCCATCAACATGGCTTATGTTGACTGTTATTTTGTTTGCCAGCTTCGTTTTCATTTAATGTCCAGACATGTATGTTTTCTAAAAAGTTATAGAAAAGTATGTTTTCATCAATATGATCTTGATTTTGTGTACTGGCCTTCTAGTTTATTTAGCTTCCTTACATTTTTGAAAAATTAAGAAATGAGTAATATAGCTATTGTTTTATGAATATACTCTTTGAGTTTTTGTTGCTCTCAAGTTTATTTAGTGTCCGTATGCTTACAAAAATTGTAGCAAGAAATTACACGGCAAGAAGCGAGTTGTGTGTAAAGTTATTTCTGGCTTGAATTGAACACCTTCAAGAGCTGATGAATGACGGACACATTTCATCACTCCTAGGACTTTTCCGCTCTCCTACATATTTGGTTCTCTTTGTATGAACAACAGAATTCTCTGTGGTACCTTAATACAGCAATGTCTTACTGTACATGCCCTTTGGTTTCTGTTACCTTTAAAGGTCCAGCGTGAGATTGTTTCTGGTCTGAGGTATTTCCAGACTACTCACAGAAAGGGAATCAGAGGTGAGTGAAAATAACAACCATTTATGGGCCTTGAGCTTGACTAAGAAAGGGTGCTATTTTCTTAGCAGCAGAGGCGCCTTTGGTCAGAACTGAATTGTTGGGTTTACGAATGACTGGGAAATTAGAACGCATCATGGTCACATCGCTCATGGCCATTTCACGCGTAAAATAACTACTTCCCTCTTCCCTCTCATGCATTATGCATAGCGTCCTCTTGTTGTGTCCAGGAATTTTAATGCCCCGCTAAAAAATGCAAAAGTTTGATGTATTTTCCTTATGAATATGGAACAGATGACTATATAAAGTTTTAAAAGCCACAATGAGGCCATGTACCAGGAACTGCCATAATCCTTTGTGTACAAGTGCCTGCATTGTGCACTTACAATATGGGATGTTGCAACCGCGGGTGTACGGTTGATAAATGTGTATCGTATTTTTTCTGCAAAAAAAGTCACGTATTGAAGAGAAATATAGTGGTTTGAGAGTTGAATCAATGATATATTGACAGATTCGACATCATTTTTGATATGATGTGAACACCAAATGTAGGCCCTCATTGTTTAGTGAAAACTGAGTCAACAACTTGATATGTAAAGAAAAATTTGTTTCGAGTCGTCGTCGCATGCAAGGCGTGTCGGTCGTGCAGTGCATTGCGTTGGCTATTTGGGCACGTTGGGGACACTTACAGACGTGATTCTAGATGGTCAAATGGAGGATTTTGAAGGTAAATATAAAAATTAGATATTTTCAATTGCATGAAAGTCTGATTTTTCTTGTGCTCTATAAACACGATGCAATTCGGGTATTGAAACATGTAACAGTCGTTGTGTAGGCTGGTAATAAAGATTCTCATGCACTAACAAACACGACAAGGGGCGTTAAATGACTGTTGTATGAAGATTTCACCTGAACTCATCATATACATGCCTGTTCCTCCCTCCAATTTTGCACCTTTAAACTTGGATTTACTTTTAAAAGGAATAATAAAGAATGCTTTATTACTTGTTACGCAGTTATCCAAGTTTATTCTTATATATGGCAAAGCTACATTTTCAATGAAATTCTCTGAGCTTTTGTTTAAGCACCTGCTTTTGTACTCACAGACTCTCATGACTGCCAGGCTTAAAAAGTAAGACGTTAAATTCTAGTCCTTCAGTCGTGTGTTTACACTTACATGGTTAACCTACACTGTATGTTGGCAGGGGAATCTCATCAAGATACGGACCAGACAAAGACGCTGGCTTCAGATCAGATTAATGATTTTTCATGTTCATAAATTTTAAGCATTCACTTTTTTCACAAGCCAATCATGTCCAATACACACCAAGTGTCAAGTCGAAAGTTATTCATGTATTTACAGGTTAAGTCATGTCGAGGATGAAGTTTCCCCGGTTATGCATATGTAGTCCCAAGTTTCAGTGTTCCTAACAATTCATGTTACATGCTATGACATTCTAAAACTTCTGAGTTGTGCTCTAATGGTGTAAACCTGCATGCCCTGCTTACACGTAACGATATAAACACTGTTATGTCGATGTCTGGCAGTAACAAGTGTTCAATTTTTTTTTTCAAAGTTTAGTGTGTATATTAATCTTACACATACATGTAATGCATCATGGGAAAAAAAACTGCTGCATATGCAACTAAGGTACATGTATACATGAGTGTGCTTGTACCGGGGTAGATTACCGGCATTACATGTACATGTTGCATGGATACTGAGGCAGGGTAATTAACAAACTGAACGCACTGTAAAATCAATCAAATGACAACATGTAAGTAAAGTTAACTTTGACAAGGTAAGGCATGCCTTGAAGAAAGCATGATGGTTGACTTGTTGCATGTTTCAGTGCAGTTTATTGCTTTCTTGTTGCATTTTCAGGTATTGGAAGGTTCCCTCCGAACTTCAGGAGACGTGGAGACATGATGGTGGCACATAATGGCCATGAGCTTTTGAAGTTCTCCCCCATTCCTTGTACAGCCCTCCCTGTATGGTTGAATTCTGTATCAGGCCCCCTCTCCCCTTTCATTTAGTAACCCAAACCCCACTTTGAATTTGGTTAATTGCTCGACCGAGTGATCTTCCAGTGAGGTTTTGGAGTAATTCTGGGAGAAGCTGCCTTTAAGTGGCCATGAAGTTTGGTATACTCGTCTCTGGAAACAGGATTAATTGCAAAACAATAAGGAATGTTTAATTTTTCCAAATAGAGTAAGCAGGAAATTTTATGAGGTGAGACTTTCTGCTTTTTTTGGTGAAACAACTTCAATTTGTGTGCATACCAACGCAGTTTATCTGCTGTTGAGTTGCTGCAAAGCTGTGGTTTATTCCCTTGTGACCATCAGCAAACTTCATGAAGAGCTCCTGGAAGTGTAGTCTAAGTTGAGCAGCTTCACGTCATACTTTGTCATGTGCTGCCAAGGGGATGTCATCCGTCAGGCTTTTCTCAGCCACTTTAAGGGGAACAGCGGTGAGTGCTTTTATAACAAGGGGCTGTTCAATGAAAACAAAACCAATGGTGTTTTTCATGCACTTCATGTGAGTAAAATTATGCTGGCATTGGAAAAAAGGGAATTGACCGTTGTCTAAAAAATGAAAAAAAAAGGGAAATTCAAAACAAAAAAAATTTGCAAAGGGGTATTTAGATATTGTTGGGCAATTTACTAAAGATAGAAGACAACTTTACTCAGTATTTCTCTTATTCTAAAATTGAAAACAGAGCCATGTGTATGTATGTGCAGTGTATAATATTGAACTTTCATTGTGCATAGAAATTAATACCAGCTTACTTCCACTTTGCAGATCCCAGTTTTGCAATCTGTTGGAACGTTGGAGGAAGGACCCGTGGGATGTTCGCTGCGTCAAAGCTGGCGAACATTACAGTGTTTTGAAGGGAGTTTGGGTGCTCACATTGACAATTTGAAATGCCATTTTAAAGGAAGAGTCACCCTTATCTCCCCCAACTTTTATCCATATTTTGTCTTCAGGAATAACTACCTCATGTCACGTCAGAGTACCATTTCTGTTGGCAGAGACATTGAAGAGCCCCGATTAATGCACATTTTATCATACATGTACATATATCATGTTAACCTATCTGTTTTAGAACAGTCACAGGCTGTCAAAAATTCAACTGTGTTTTTCCCTTTAGAAAGCAGACACCAGTGTCTCTTTGCTGGCTTTAATTGGAAGACAAAATCTTTTTCTGCTCTGTGAGGTCCCCAACAAAAGCAAAGGGAACAGGTCTTGTAGAGAGACCATTTACTCCATCAGCCTTATCACTGGTGAAAAGGAGTTCAGCCATTTCCCCTTGAAGGTAGTCCTTTAGAAGGTGCTTCTGTTCAGTCCTCTTTCTGATGGCAGACATTTTGATTCATTCAGGTACCTGTAAATAATGAAAATACTGGACAAATAAACCTTTTGCGAGTTAACTTTGACCCAAATCTGGTACACTGAGTTCTTTAAATTAATTCATGCGAACATAACAACTAAAATTCTCCTTACTAAAACCACTGTTGCTATACCTCGTGATTCGGGGCAAGCTTTTGCTTAGTGACATAAGAGATGCCTTGCAACAAGACACTGTTCTCAATAAGAAGGGCACAAAGGAACCAGTCCATTCCAGAGATAGTGGTCGCTATGCAAAAGCTTGCCCCGAATCACGAGGTATAGCAACAGTGTCTTTAGTCTGGGGAATTCAAATCATTATGTTTATGTGCAATCAGATAACTCAGATTTTATTCAAATTTAACTCACAAAAGGCCTATTGAGATTGTTTCCTCTGCAACAGTAAATGATAATTTAGGCTTTCCCCCAACCCCCCCCCAAAAAAAACTTTAGGATTGAATACGTAATTTTCAAAACATGTCCATTATCACTTACTTGTACTGGTTTCCTATGACTTTTATTTCATAGTCATACTGTACCTTCTTAATTTTCTAAGCTGAGTCCAAGCCAGTTTGCAGTCTTGCATCATAATGAGGGATATTTCTGCTGATAATAGCTGAGTCTTCGTGCCAGCTTCAGTGGATTCAGTAGCATCATGGGATACAGTTGATTTCTTTGTTGTCACTTGCGTATATGTAGGCTGTTTTTAAGATGGTAAATTGCATTGGCCAGTTTGATACACGTCCAGCTATGAAATATTTAACAGATGCATCTCCATTTGTAATGAGAATGTATTGTAACTAATGAATTGATTTACTGCTTTTAGTAAATGCAATTAGGTCCTGTGAGGTTGATAAATTCTCTATTTAAATCATCAAATATGCAGTTGTGAAGCTTCAATGTTATTTTACTAGCATGTGTTAAATGATTGAGAGCAATTTGAAATAAAGTTGAACTTTATCATGAAATGAAAATTTACCTGACCACCAGTTGTAATGGTAGTTACATGATTGTCACGTTTTAGCTTGAGCCAAGTCCATTTGTCAGCAACATCTTTAACAATTTTTGGTATGGGGTCTCTATACTTGTGGTAGTTCGCCAGGTCTTTCAGCACTTTTGCAGCTGTAGCAATTTTTTTTCTGTTTCTGACTCATTTGATTGAATCTGTGCTGCCTTGACAATTGTGAACTTGGGGTGGGTGGATTAACTTAACCGCATGCATGTTACAGTTTTCCAATTTTCTGGCACTTGCTACAAACAACCAGCAGGTTGTCACGTTTTATAGTCAGTACTCGGGGACTCTTTGTGATTTGTTTGTACTTTATGTCGGCCTTGCACATTGGACACATCAAATTTGACGTGTCTCTCTTGAATGTACGCTGTGCAGACTGTGCAGAAATTGTGCTCACAGGGGTCTGAACACATGGCTTGCTCATCTCCCCTGTTGTGGATCAAGTCCAAACTAACTGGCACTTGCTGGCTTGGCTCACTCCATTCTCCATCAAGGTGTGCAAAAATGTTTGCATTGCTGCAACAGAACGGACATCGTGTGTCCTGTCCCGGCAGACATATGCAGAATGAAAAGATCGTCGTCTCTTGTGTGGACCCCTCTCCCCTGCTCACAAGCTCACTCACAAGCATGTACCGGTTCTCTCGTGTGGAGGCCGGTCAGATTGGATTTTCTGGCTTAGCAGACGTTTATTTACATCTACATGCGTGTCTCGAGTACCACCTGTAAAATGGTAGATCTTCCTGGCGTATCTTTGACAAAGGTTGGATGCTGGTCGGGTGTGTCATTTGGCACATACTCACTTGACATGCTTGAAACACAGTGAAAATCTCCTTTTGAATATTGCTGCAGGGGCGTGGTTTTTGTTTAGGATTTTTCTGTCTTGGATGAAGCCTTTCTGTACAAATTCTACAGATTTTTTCAAGTGACATGTGATGATGAAAAACTTGATCATGAAAAAACTTGATGAAAAACTCATCTTGAATGAAATTTCATTTTGCATAAACTACCAATATATGGTTGTTTTCTCACAGCAAACCCCCTAGTATTAGCGAGTACACAGACATTTGTGTAGCGCTCACTTTACGCTAGGCCAGTTGGTACCCGCGCTTCATGTTGGCACGTCATTAGCTGTGAACCAGCGATCCATCAGTCTGAAAAAACAGTGTAGCATGGAAAATATGAGGCTATATCCAGGGCTAGAATTAAGCTTAGAATGGTGGCCTACCAAAGAAACTGTAATTTCTGTTTAGGTTTCTTATTTATCAATCTAACACACTTGACAGTTTACCCTGACGTTCCAGAATTACTTCGTTTTACAGAAAATTCCACAAAACAAATAATGTGGGAAGAATTCCTTCCGTATGTATTTATTTCTTAAAGGGAAACATTACATTTTGGCAACTTATGCCACAAATGATTTAAAAACCTTTTAATTAACAGTCTAATTTTGACGACCACTTCGAAAAAACATCCTCGTATTTTTCTGTTCCTGTGTAGCACCATATCTTGTAAAGTCTCACGTACAATTGGAGTTATCAAATAAAAAAATGCTTGCAGATACTTTTGTTGCGTGCGGGTTATGTGAGTGGGACTGCCGTGCACTACCAACAAAGTGAACACTCCCAACCAATGCCGTTTGTTTTCAACTGATGAGGGGGTGCTTCTGTTTGAGGCGGATAGGTATTTGTAGGGCACTATGTGCTGTAAAATACCTGTAATGAGTAATGTGTGAAACCTGGTCAGAGAGCAGTTGTCACACTTCTTACAACAGTCCACCACAAATTCCCTGGGCAGCCTTTGCTTGACAGAAAGCTAAGGACAATATCCTCGGTGTAACGAAGGCTGTAACATAGGCTTTCATTTCTTACTTGGCGGACACAAGTGCTGGATAATTTGCAGCCGCAGTTCAAAGGCTACAAATTAAATGAATGCACATTTACTGGTGACAGTGAGATTCTACTCCAAATCCATTTGGTTGAGAGCTCCTTTTTATGCCCTACCTAAAAATGTCTTCTACACCTTTAAGATCTTGTTTTTGAACTAGGCACAAATGTCCATCAAAATTAAAATGGTGCGCTGAGTCTGTCCATGTCCTACAAATTCAGGCGAAGACACACATTTTGACAAAATTTGAGACACTGCAGGTGAGGAAAATCCAACAAATAGCCCAAGGCAGAGATGTAATAAAATAAAATTTAACTGCCATGTATTTAGCTGTGTTGGGTGCACATCTGTTTCTGTCAGGTTTTAAAAAGTCATAACCCCCAACATTTGAATGAAACAGCCTTTTTATTCCTCCTATTGTTTGCAGTCGGCAAGGACAATTTGATGGTGGGCAGCTACGGACCCAAGACAGAGGTGTATGAGTATGGAACGCCTGAGGACGAAGCTCCCGCAGGCATGATGGCCCGTGGCCACTACACAGTCAAGAGTAAATTCACTGATGATGACAAGAATATCTACCTGGAATGGGAGTGGAGTTTTGACATCAAGAAAGATTGGGCATAACACGGTGGTCACGTCTGCTCGGCAGTAGTCTTTTGAGAGGGACGCAATTGTACGTGTATATGATGTTTTTGTTTTTTTGGGGGGGTAATCATAGAGGTAAACGGATTGAGCTGGTTCTTGTAATTAACTTAACAGGTGTTGGGTTTTCCATCAAGGAAATGACATAAATTGGTTTCAGTTTGAGCATATTTTACTTTGGACAGTTTATTACCGAACAATGAAAAATCACTTCCTCTGCCTTTCTTTGGCTGGACAATGTCATCTTGGCAAGGCATGAGCAAAGCACTGCAGGGTGGAAATGAACAGGCGCGAAGGATCAGCTGAGTATTTCTAGGAAATGTTGGTACCAGCCATAACCTGCAGTGCAGTGCACATATTTTTCAGAGTTTCTAAAGCTACTTTGTCGGTGCGAAAAGGGAAAACATTTAACTTTCCTGTAGTAGTAGGGGTTTAGAATGTTGAATTTTACTTCCAGAAATGTTGTTTATGATTTGTCTTAAAGATTACACTACTCCCTCCATCGTTGATCACATATTCCTTATTCCTCAAGTTCAGTGTCAGCATCACTTCAGGCCGTAGTTTTCTGCTAAAGAGTGGACAAGAAGCAACTTCTTAAAGCATCTGTGCATCTAATATTGGCCACACCAACAACATTTGTGAGCCATCACGACAAAATGAAAGTTTTACTATTTTGAGCGTTCAAAGTCACATTGAAGTGTAGGTCAGTATTTGGGTTTGTAATATTTGGGAAGAGTAACCCGTCTCCTATTTGATTCTAAATATTTTGCGGGATCATATATTAAAAATGTCATTTTCTCAGCAGTTTTGATGATAGCATTATTCAGGCCTGGTCTGAAATGTTGAAACAGTGTCGGAAACAAAGACACAAAGCTGCCAGAATAATGTCACATCATCAGCTTATACTTTTACCCTGAGTGGTCCACGTACATACCACTGGAAAGCTCTTTTTCCGCTGAATTAAAAATTACCAATGTCTCAATTTTTGAAAATTCCAACTTTCAGCTAACTTTGGGAGCAGGTCACATTTTTGGCAAGGCCATGCTGATCATCCACCCAAATGTGACACAGTCACACTTGATGTCCATTGCTACTGGTCTGTTGCTGGAATTTGCTGTGCAAGATCAGTCGGCAAAGCAGCACCTTTTGCTTACTAGCTATTTTGGGGCATTGGGTCCTGCTCACAACGTTGGTCATCGATCACCATGTCGGTTGTTTAATCCCCTTTGGTAAGACTTAATTGTTTGTCTAGTGGAAGTGTTGCTGTGGTCTAGTCAGTGTCCTGCTGCTTTGAGTCGAGCTGCCCATTACAATAGGCCTGAGATATCATTGATGCAAGAAAGTCATATGCAGAGTTACTCATATTATGAATCTGTTGTGCAAAGAGAATTGTCAAACCATCATGCATGTAAGTTTGATATGTCTTAAAGGTACTTCTATTGGACTTTTGGACTTTGGGGAAGGGTTGTCCTTTTCATATTGATCTTGCTCTTTCTATGCCAAAATACCTCTTTCAATTTGTACACAAAAGTACTACAATCCCATTCCCATCTTGTAACATGCTTACTCGGAAACTACCAGTTAACTGATGTAACTACTTAATTTAAATAGATGTAGGCGTTTCACGCAAACAGCTTTTTTGTTACTGTCCTACGTGTAGTCATCACGCTCTTTGATGTTACCAGTCATGAATTTTGTACTGCTCTGGGGAAAAAAATCTGTCTGTTGATTTTGGGTTGTGTTCTCCTTTTTTTTGTGTGATTTTTTCAAATCCTGTAAAAAAAAAGCACATCCATCAAAAAGAAGTGACAGGTTTTCTTTTACAGATGATAATGACCACGTGCTGTGCGGAAGTTCCTTACGTGGAAATCCTGACAAGGAAATGTAGTCGGCCTTTTGGAAATGTACCTATGCATTGTAATTACTTTTTTAGATGTTTATTTTGCATGAGATTTATAGTTGCCTTATTTTGCTAGATATTTACTATTTAGTCTGTTTTCTGTTGTTTCAGCTTATAAGCACATTGCATCATTTCATTTTTTGTACTGATATAACAAAAATGGTAGCCTGTGTTTTCTGTAGCATTTTGCCTTCTGAGTTCTTTGTTGATGTCAAATTGGGAGTGTTTTGATCATGCCCTTTAGGAACCTCACAAGGTAGCCATGGGCGGGATATGTAATGTCCATGTCATGATACAGTCAAATTTATGAGAATATGATGAGAATATGAACACTGGTTGTAAAAGATTGGTGTTGTATTTTTACATTGTCCGTGAATCTTGGGCAGAAACTTGATTTGCATGCACCTATCTTGCATACGTTCAGACTACGGACTCAAATGATTGATGATGTTGCGTTGGCACCATGGCTATATTTCAACAATTTGTTGAAACACCTGCACAGATGTTATGAATTACAACTGTTGGGAAACCCAAAAACTGTTCATGTGCATGGAGTTGGCTAGGCATTAATTGTGCATTTTTTTAAAGCCAAATAATGCTGCATGAAAAGTGTCACCCACAGAAGATCCATTGAATAAGAGAAGCTCTTTAGAATGGGGGGTTAAGTGGTATCCATATTGTCTTGTCAGAGTGGGTTTATTGTGAAGGGGGGGGGGGAGTAACTGAAGAGAAACGCTCGCATTGATGTACACAACTGTTGATTATATAGTTCATGCTTTTAGCTGAACATAAACGTGTTTTAGGTGTGATCAAGAACCATTCCATTTTGATGCATTTTGTGTTTATCTTTTATAGCGAGCAGTTGTAATACGGCAGATTTGTATATCAGGAACATGTGTAAGTAAGTCATCCTTAATGCGATTTCTCTGTTGTTTTTTATGCAAGTCATCATCAGAGATGAGCATTTCTGGTTGGAAGAGGAACCTTTTCAAGGGTCCAAAATGTTGTGGAAACAGGATTAAAAATCACAACAGTCCTTATTACCGAGAAATGCATGCAGACTGACTTGAACATGCACAACAAAGTAATTTGCACTGGAGACGGAATTATCACCAACAAAATTAATTTTCAATTGAATGAAGCATTTTTGATGTTCAAAAGCCGTTGCACAGTGCCTGGGGGAGGGGGACACGGGGAAGCCAGCTCATATGCCAACTGGAGATGGTGCAAAATAGCTTGATAGAGTAATTGGCATTCTCGTGCTATTATTTTTTCTATCCCACGTACTACTGTGCCTTTCAGTTTTGGAAGTTTCAGTAATTGAATGGATTCGTGGCTCTTGTGCCTCTTTGGTTACGTCAACTTCAGATGCAGTAATATAGGAGTGGAGATGAGCAATGTTCTGCCTTATTTTATTCTCTGATTTTGTAGCTAATCATGGTCAATTATCTGAAGGAGAGATTAAAAATTATGTGGATTTTTGAAGACAGTGTTTCAAATTTTTGTAATTATTTATGTGTACACCTTTTTTCCCCCTGTCTTTCTTAATGCAGTCATAAAACGGTCATTGAGTGGACAAATTTAACAAAAAAATGGTGATCTGTCTGCCTCTCCTCAGTGTTGTAACTTAACTGGGGGGTTTACAGGCCCTGCTTAAGACAAGGCCTGTGCAGTGAAACCCATTACCCCCCCCGACCCCTGCAAAAGTGTACCTCAGTTATGCCATTACACCCCCGCGGAAAAACTCCAATTTTTGTAGACTAATTTTTCCTCAAGAAGAACGGGGGGGAGGTGGTCAGAGAGACGGCTCTTTCAAACACTTGTTCAACCTTTTTAGTTGGTCCCTGGGGATTAGTCACTGTTGTTTGTTTGGCCGTGGTTTGGCGAATATTCCCTCCACACTGATGTTCTTTTATTTGCATTTTCAATGTGCATTTATGTTTTAGCTGATGCATTCAAATCCAGGCTTAGGAGCATCAGTTCCAATCCTTGCTTTTAAAGTTTAATTCATCTCGGCTTGCTCATGAATTATTTAGTACAAGTTGATCTAGTTATGTCGGTAGAAGGAATTCATATATCGGTCGTCGGATAAAACGACCACTAGACTCATTTGGAATCCAGACTTCCTTACCACAAAAGGTAGGGAAACATTACCGGGTTACTGACTTTCAGTGAATTAACCGGACGAGGGGACGAGGCGTTGGTTTTCTTCTTGCATGTCGTGGGACTTTTTGATTTTCAGGTAAGACAATGATAGGGCTAAAAGTCCCAGTTTATGTCAAACCAAATGCAGATATCTGTTTCTTCCTATAAATTTGAACAGTGGCAGCCACGTGGAAATTTTGTTTAATAATCTGAGTCACCGAGACTCTTCGAATCGGCCCTTTTAACATCGGGCGGGTCAAGTGTTGAGTGTGTTTTAGTGGATTCGGATGGATCGTTCTCGTAAAGTCCTGTTACGCCTCAACTATAGCATACGTCCCAACTATAGTTGGAACAGTCCCAACTGTAGTGCTGCAGTTAGGCTGGCCCAACTATTGACGACCAATGTTTGTGGGGAATGTCTCAACATTATCCAAGTCAATGTGTCTCAAACGTGACACAATTCATATAAAATGTGGCACTTCATTTGTTCATCTAGCCCTATGACCAATGACATGACATTTGTAAACAATATGACTTTGGCACATGCTGGGCACATTGTGCACACAGGACCTCTCTGCTGTAGTTGGGCCAGCCCAAATGTAGCTCTCTAGTTGGGATGGGCCCAACAATAGTTTGGACGGGCCCAACTATAGTTGGGACGAGCCCAACTATAGTTGGGACTGATGCTGTAGTTGGGGTGTAACAGTCCCATTCAAACTTAGCCCCACTAGTGTGGCACGGACTCTCACTCCCAATCCATCCTTCTCTCACTCCCGACCCATCCTAGGATGGATGGCACTTTGCTGGGCACATCCAAGGATGGTTCGGGAGTGAGAGTCCGTGCCACACTAGTGTAGTGGGACTAATTCAGACTAACATGAGATAACATCAGCCTGGTTGTTGAAGACATAAAATGTTACCGTGCAATGGTAGGCCAAAGTTTGGCATGCAGATAGCCCAGTCTTTATGGGTTTATATGTCTAGGCTAGGGGGAAAAGTTCCACACACGGACATTGTTTATCATGTTCATGTCATTCGACACAGGAAATCAAGCCAGCGCTGAAGAGATTGGTAATTAATTTTGGATTTTTTGCCCTGCCTGACGTGTATTAACTGACGTGTATTAACACTGTATGCTCAGTGTACGTCCCCGAACCACAAGCATACTCAGGTGGGACTCAAATCTACGACCTCCTCCTTACTAGCGCAGGTTCGAATAAGATATAGCGGCGGGTACCACGAACAAAATTAATTTACATCTCCCCTGCGCAAATCCATCTTTGAAGTAATTCTTTGCGGTACCCGCTGCGACATCTGATTCAAACCAGCCAGCGGACACCGGCAAGCTTAGTGGTCGAATGGTTAAGACGTCAGCACTAGTAAGCAGGAGGTCGTGGGTTTGAGTCCCACCCGAGTATGCTTGTGGTTTTTTACAAGCCTTCGGGGTATACACTGAGTATACATGTCGGACAGGGCAAAAATCTGAAATTAATTTAGATATCCCCGGCGCAAATCTGTCTTTGAAATAGATTGTTAATTAATGATTCAGCAACCCCTCACCACAAACATGGGACAGTTCCAAGTTGGCATGCTGCGGAGCTGACTTTGAGTAAATGGAAGTCAATGAAACAGTTACATATATCAGAGTTTTCAACTGCCCTTTCACATGTACTTCAATGTTGGTCACTGATTGACATGACTATATGAAAAAAAAATCTGGGTCCCCAGGTTTGGGTACTCTTGATTAATCCCCCCTTGTTGAAATAAGGTTGGATTTATGAAACAGACTAACGTGTCCCCAAGTTTTCAGTGGAAGTCCCTCCTCTCCTATTTCGTTCGGGACATTTAGTGTTTGGATTACCTTTGTGTGACATACCTCTCAAAGACAGAATCACATATAACTGAAAGATCTTTGCTTGGTTTCTCGCAAGAATTTAATTCTAGTGTCTTAAAGAGCAACCCCAATGGTGGTGAAAAAATGGGGAACACAGTTCAATATACTCACATGGTATCTAGGTAATAAGTTATATAAGTTATGTAAATTGGCGCTGTGACTTCTGAATAAATAGTGCGTATAAGCACCTTCCTGAGAACCGTTTCCATGGTGCTACGTCAACAAATCCTGGAAAAGCCTTATTCATGAGATGGAAATGAAGCGATGACGACACGCTCCTTTCACGAAAGCTAGCCGTGGCGCTCGGCAGAAATGGGTCTCAAATAGGCCTGCAACAAACGGACCAATCATGGGTGCCCATGGTACGGTTACAACCTTAAAGAAACTTTAACCTGGATGAAACGTTAATGCGAGTACAACAAGAACTGTTTTCAGCAAAACCTCACTCTATAGGTTGAGAAACCTTGATGAATTTTTCCTTCTGTATTAGACTTACATGTACAGAACATGTATTGTTGATGTACCCGGCCATGGGGCCCCTAGCATGTTCATTTTTCGCTTCTTGTGTCTTGACAGAGCACTTTTAGCGCAAAGTTTACAATAAGTGCAACTTCATCAAACTCCTCAACATTCTGATTTATGAATCTCTATTTTACGTACATGTACATATACCTGCTCCAAAGTTTGGATGAAATTTTATTTTCGCCCGATTTTTCAACTGTTTTTCAGATGTGTAAAATGAACTCTTTTAAATTGTGCCCAAAACTAGGAAAAGAATTTTCGGACAAACTTATGGATGAGTATTTGAGTGGTAGTAATGATGCTTTACAAGAGTATATCAACTTCAAAGTATTTTGTAAATGTTAGAGGGATTTTCTACGACTTTTTTCAAGTGTGCCACGTTAGGGAACACGCAGCTGAATTCGAGCCCAATTTCCGTAAGCCAACAGTTGTGGATTTTGAATGATATTTCATGACACTGAAATCATTCACAAAGGTTCAACACCATGCATCATGAAGGCAATAGTACTAGTTTTTACAAAATGAGTTGTATTTTTTTCAAGAAAGAGGTTTAGCAACACCGTGTTTGGAAAGTCAAGTGAGCATCGAAGTGTGCCACGTTAGGAGACTCTACTGCTGTATATATGTACATTGGTTGCCGTTACTGCAAAGCAGCCTCCATCGCGTAGGCTGTCCTACGCATCTCGACCTGTGCAATATTTTTCCTTTTTCTATAGTTTACACATGTATATTTGCCTCAGTGAATTGCTTGAATTGGAACCTGTTACTTGGCTGGATTCTCAAAACCATCAACGTTTTGATGTTGCGTATGTCTCTGTTAAAACTAAATGAAAAGAATGAATGATAAACAGTGGGGCAAAGTGGAAACGGGATGAAGTGGTTAAGGGCGAAGCGAAGCATGAACCACGTTAAAAAGAAGGGTCAAAACCCTGCTGAGTTAACAAAAGTAGTGCAAATACTTTCTGATCAGCATCTGAGAGTCGTGAGGTTCACATGTGTACTTTTGAAGACAAGCCGCAACCAAATGGTTGACTACAGCTGCATTTGATACACAAGTATATGGTATTTGGCTGCAGCCGCTCCCATATGTGTGTGTAATTCTAGCCACGACTGGCCTGAGTGGTTGAAATGGCAGTTGGCCGCGGCATGCTGGGGGTCACATGGACCATTGGGTCTGACTGTTGCACTGTACCCCTGAAAACATTCTGTACAGTGCGATAGCGCAGTGCACTCACTGTAAAGTGTAAGCTGTAAACTAGCTTTTGAAATAGTGTTTGGTTACAAATTGACCAAAGAACGTACATGTAACTGTTACATGGTTACAGGTACATGTACATATGTATGAATTCCATGTCAGGTCCAAGGGAATCACACTTGCACAGTGCACGTATACAAATGCTCATTTTCATAATCAATTTTTTACTTTTTGAGTTCGTTGCAGCTCTGGCATACATGTATGAGGTATTTCTGGATAACTTTTACACCCATAGTCAGCTCAATATCCCGTGTATCAGTTTTTTTAAACTCTCTAACCAAAATCATGTTCTTTTCACTGGAAACAGAGAGATTTTTAGAACAGCTCTGACCTCATACATCATTACATGTACCTTTGTGTTATGGTTCAGTTTTTTAGTCCAGGTCACATGAGTTCCCCCTCCCTGCCCCCTCCCACGAGATGTTACCCAATTACGAATTCAAGCAAGATGGCGGTATCCGCATCCCCAAACTGCTTATAATCCTTATGTCTAGAATTGCCTAAATGCTATTTTTAGAATACACATGTAATTGGGCCTAAATACATGTTTGTCCTGGGCAACATGTTTGCAGAAAATGTATTACAAAAAGATTTTAGTTTTTACTTTAATAACCCCCCTTTTTTTTCCGACACCAATTTGAAGAATGATTGAAAATGAAAATACAGTATGACGCACCTGTGTGGGATTGGGAGAACGGTTTGGGTAGGGAGAAATTTTTAGAAGGGTTGGGGCTGTCAGAAGCTAAAAAGAGGTGTCCATCTCTCTTTTCTCCCTCTGTATCCCCAGTCCCATGCCTCTCTCCTCACTGCCTCACCAAGCCACCTTCGTTCTTCCCTCACCACAAAGTTTTGCTTCAATTCAAACTGCATTCCCATTTGTGCATGCAGTTCAAACAATGGGCATTTCATCTTCTGTCATAAATGACACATCGCATTTCAGCCTGATGTGATGATTCAGCCTGGAGTTCGCAAGTTCACGGCTCGGTGTCTTTAGAGGCAGAAATAGCAAGAGCTGATATAAATATTTAGATGTTAGTCATGGGATTGAGTACCAACTACAAACACATGGGGGGGGTGGAATCTGTCACCAGTGGTTCAGAGAGTAATCTTATGAGCAGTTTATATTTTCTTGGAATCTTCTTTACATACATAGTACATGTGCTTGAGTAGACGTGCAATGTTGTACAGATATATGTACATGTATGGGGACATTGAAGATAATTTTTTTTTTCAGAAGGAAGTTAAGCAGAATCAATTCACCGGTCTTATTCCTATAATTCACACATCGAAATAGATTGAAATTGAAGTGTTGTACACAATCTTTAGCTGTCTTTGTCCAGCCAGTTTTTGTCAAAATAATTAATTGGCCATGTTGAGGGTTGTCAGACAGAAGGATGTTATTAAAAACTAGACTTTTTGAAATGTTTTGATTTATGATGCACGTTGACTTCATTTAGGCCATACATGTAACTTCAAATAATATCTGCTGGCCGTCTAGAGTCTTTGTCTGAATAAATTTAAGCTAATCAAGTGCTGACTCATGGTAAATCTTGTTGCCAGGATGTTGAGTGCCTGTACATGTTATGTGCATACACAGGGGTGCTTGAAATCCTCAGAAATCATCTTTTAAACTGCAAGCTTATGTTGCATGTGTATCCTTTCATATAAAAAGTTTAGCCATTTTTTAAAGTGATATATCACTGTTCCATTTTTTAAGTGATCTGTCATTGTTCCTTTTAGCCTTCCATATTTGATGCACAATGAATTGCCATTTCTCATATTTCAATCCAAAACTTGATCTTAGCTACCTGTGCATGTAGTTGACATAGTCCATAAAATTTGAAGGAATTTCTTTATTTCATATTGCACTGACATGTAGCCAACAGGTTTGTATGTAGTGTTGAGCTCCAATGACATGTGTGCTGTTGTCATGGTTGTACAAAAAAAGTATACATGTACAATGTACAGTGTACATTTGTGTAGCCTAAGAGTTGATGTGCAGAACTGCAAATTATGGAAAAGAGAACTTAGTGGTAATACAAAAGAGAAAAGAACGGACTGTAACATAAATAAGCATTTTGAAATTTGGCCTCTAAATTTCCTTTGAATTCTTAGAAAACCAGGTGTTCAATTTGCATCAGGAATGAAAGACAGTGCTTGTACACTTGCATGGTATGTTGTAGGGTACAGTCCACTACATGTAATTCAAGCCCCATTGAAAACAGTGTGAAATCAGCACTGTTCAGGACCCAATAACATGCACGCCAACAACCCTGAGATTTCTGAAACACAAATGAAATTCTTGTCTGGTCACTAATCTTTCAATTTCTTTTCAGTTTTTTGTGGGTTAAATAATTACATTTTTAATTAGTCCCACAAAACAAAATCACCCTCAATAAGTGATTTTTCCGAAGTCTGATTGCAGCCATTTTCCAAGTGGCAACCCTCAACTTCTCGGGCACTTAGGACCATTTTTCAACCGTAGTTTTTAGCCATTCTGCTCTCATATGAAAGCTCAAAGACCCAGGGAGTTGATCCTGGCAAGGATTTACACAATCTCACCATTTTGGAGGCCAAACAATCTTCTTTTTCAAAAGATACTCTTTGGGCACTTTTAATGCTAATGAGCTGGCCAGAAATTCTCACTTGAATTAGTGGTCTGAACCCTGTCAGGTATCCAAAATGGCTTCCAAACCACGGTCAGACACCCCTTGCAAGAAAATATAAAAGGATTTCCCATTTCAACATTTTCAAGGATACAAACACAGCTCGTCCACATTAAACCCACAAAAAGACAGGAAGTACGCTTGAATTGTCTGGCTGGGCCAAACTGCTGCAGAAGCCATTATCATTATATGGAGGAAGTAGTGCAGCAGTTTTGGAGGACAGAGGGACCTTAATCGTTCAGTGTGGTCATCATCCTGTTTATTGGATGCATGGAACATGTGGAAGGATATTTCTTTGTTGAAAGGAAGTACAGTGGTAGTGTACATTTGTACAAGTTTGTGTTCACCACTGCATGCATGCACAAGTACTGTACATGTACCTGTGTACCTACATGTAGTGCATCATTTTGCAGACAGCTACATGTACATGCACACATGTATGTTTCACTACTTTTTCTTAATGTGAGCTCTTTGTGTGCAGCTAGATTTGTATTGTGGACCCAATGCATATTTGGTATGTACATCTCTACGTGTAGAAAGAGTCGATATTGAGTTTTATCTGGTAATGAGTTTTATCTAGAATTTATCAAAAGCTGGCATTTCCTCTCTGCCAGCCTGTCTAAATTACACAAGATGTGTAGGGAGACTTTTTCTGTACTTCCTGCTAACAGTGCGGCCAAAAGTACGGTACTGTACGTGGTGAAGTAAATAATGTCACTGTGAATCGAATGTAAATTGTGCTGAGGTAATATGTGTCAGTTTCCTGTAATGTTTCACTAATTTGGTAATTATTACTTTCATTTATGCACACATTGACTTGTACATTGTACATGTAGCAGTATATCACAACTTTGTATTGATGTGAAAATAAAATCACAAGTGGGAATCACAATGGGATATCCATCCAGCACAAATTATTCATTTATAAAATGGGTTTTGCCCTTACCCAACGTATATATTGATAAACACTATATGCTCAGTGCTTGTCTTGAAAACAAATTATTTATTTGTTCATTTGTCAGGTTTTGTGGTGGTCTAGCAGTCCTATATTGTGAAAAGTGCTCCAATAATAGTGAAATTTGTATGCCAGGGGCCAATTTCTTAGAGCTGCTTAAGCACAAAATTTGCTTAAGCACGAAAAAAACCTTACTTGATAAATCAGGTAACCAGCCAAAACTCCATGTTATGTACAGTGTATATTCTTTTGGCATTGCATTTATCTGTTTTTTTTGGTCAGCATGACAATCAGAGTTTGAGCTAGTAACCAAAGTTTTTTCCTGCTAAAGCAAATTTTGGGCTTAAATTAAGCAGCTCCATGAAACTGGCCCCAGTTCATAAGGTTCTTGGTATATTCTTAGTTGGCAAATGCTCCCAAGCAAATGCTCCATTATTGTGTTACTCCATACCCAGATCAGCAAAGTCTCATGCTCTGTTGTGTGTGATTTTAATGGATTCATTTAGAAATGTACCAATTGCATTACTTAAGCACTAGGCTCAATGTCCCATTCAGATGGTACAATTTGAGAGTGTGCCTTGCGGTTGGTACATTTATGCATAACAAGCACAGTTTTCAGGTGTTGGATATTCCCATCTTTTTATGTTTTCTATTATGTATATAAACTAGATGTACTTTATCAGTATTTGAGAGATACCCAAGGCGTAGGATACATATTTTTGTTACAGTCACATACATGTACTAATTTGCACCAAATTTCGGCTTCAAGTTTTTGTATAGATTCCACTTTGTTTCAGTTCTGCTGAACATGTTACATTGTACAAACTTGACTGGTTCATGCTTCTCTGCAAAACATACATGTACATGCACATGTACATGGCATTATGCATGGCATACAGGTACGGTGCATGTCAAAGTCTGCAAATTACATACAGCATGTATTGGTGCATGTACACGTATGTATGTACATGTATATTGGCTGTGGACTTATGGCCCAGCGTGTAACCCCCACTGATTCCAGAGAAGTAATAACATTCTTGCACAGGTGGGAGCAGTATAAATTAGCTTTGGCCTGCAGGTTATGAGACAAAAAAATACCTTTTTCCTTCTTTTTTTTAACATTTTTTTCTATTGGGATGGGGGGCACAGTACATATATACCTCAGTAGTTAGGTCCTTTTTGTGATCCCCAAGATGTGATTTGGCCAAGACCAAAATCTGAGTGTATGAATTCTAAATGCGACAGTAAAGCTTTCCGTTTTCTGTAGTGTTTTTTCCCACCTTAACCCCTTCACGCTGGGAGAGCCGCCATAAAAATCGAGATCCTCAGCCCGCTTTTCAGCTATTATTCTCGGCTCACTCTCGAGCGAGCACGGTAAAAGAAAGCAGACCCTGGCTCTTGTGTATATGGTGATTGGCCTTTGTGTGTAGCCCAGAAATGAAAAGA